ACGGCCACCGGGGTTCTGTAGATTGAACCCCCCCCCTCCCCAACCGTCCTAGGCGCTAATCCCCTTGCGTATGCCTCTCAAAATGTATTACGTCATCTTGCTTGAGCTGAATACAAAATATCGCATTCTTCGTTTCTTTATCGCCTTCTTCCTCGTTTTCATTTTTATGCCCTTGCTGCTGGGGATTTTTCCCAATTTCGCTGGGTCATCAACAAAGGACAACCAAAGAGGTTACCGGAGTAACGACAACAAAATAGGTTACCGGAGTAACGACAACAAAATAGGTTACCGGAGTAACGACAACAAAATAGGTTACCGGAGTAACAACAACAAAATAGGTTACCGGAGTAACGACAACAAAATAGGTCACCGGAGTAACGACAACAATGGAAGTTACTGGAGTAACGACAACAAAAGAGGTTACCGGAGTAACAACAACAAAATAGGTTACCGGAGTAACGACAACAATGGAAGTTACTGGAGTAACGACAACAAAAGAGGTAACCGGAGTAACGACAACAAAAGAGGTTACCGGAGTAACGACAACAATTTAAGTTACTGGAGTAACGACAACAAAGGGTTACCGGAATAACGACGACGCTTGTGCTGTTTTTTTTTCATCCTCATTGTGTCATGTTTTACATGTCTTCTGTTTACAATACAATTTAGAATTACAAAATTTTAATTTTTAAATTTAAAAAAAAAAACTTGATCCCGCCGACGTTGTTGTTTGACTGACAACGGGACGGTGACATTTGCCTGATATCTCTGACGTCCGTGCCCGCATTGTGATACCCTCTCCGATGACACCAGTATTGATCGGAGACCTGGAACAATAACACGGCGTTTTTTTTTTTAAACTTCCATTTCGTCTCTTGCTCTCTCCCTTTCAGGCGAGATGGCGAGTTCGTTTCTTCTAGCGTTAGCAACTTATCACTTAGTTTAGGGGTGGGGCGTTTTGTGTTGGGTGTTTTTTATGCGTCACCGGTACCGCTAGAAATGTCGTTTTATGAAAGAAGAGATCATCCGGTGGAATAGCACTTGAGTTTGGATGGTAAGAATGGTCTGATATTTGTCATGATGTAGCCCATCTTACATGATTGAGACCATCTTACACGACTGAGACCATCTTACATGATTGAGACCATCTAACATGACGGAGGCCATCTAACATGACGGAGACCATCTAACATGACGGAGACCATCTTACATGACGGAGACCATCTTACATGACGGAGACCATCTAACATGACGGAGACCATCTAACATGACGGAGACCATCTTACATGACTGAGACCATCTAACATGATTGAGACCATCTTACATAATTGAGACCATCTTACATGACGGAGACCATCTAACATGACGGAGACCATCTTACATGACTGAGACCATCTAACATGATTGAGACCATCTTACATAATTGAGACCATCTAACATGACGGAGACCATCTTACATGACGGAGACCATCTAACATGACGGAGACCATCTTACATAATTGAGACCATCTTACATGACGGAGACCATCTTACATGACGGAGACATACGTGACGGAGACCATCTTACATGACTGAGACCATCTAACATGATTGAGACCATCTTACACGACTGAGACCATCTTACATGACTGAGACCATCTTACATGACGGAGACCATCTTACATGACTGAGACCATCTAACATGACGGAGACCATCTTACATGACGGAGACCATCTTACATGACGGAGACCATCTTACACGACTGAGACCATCTTACACGACTGAGACCATCTAACATGACGGAGACCATCTTACACGACGGAGACCATCTAACATGACGGAGACAATCTTACACGACTGAGACCATCTTACATGACGGAGACCATCTTACACGACTGAGACCATCTTACATGACGGAGACCATATTACACGACTGAGACCATCTTACACGACTGAGACCATCTAACATGACGGAGACCATCTTACATGACGGAGACCATCTTATAACAGACAGCACATCTGACATCAAAGAATCACCAACAATTTTACTCCCATTTTTGTTCATTATTTCACTTTGATCGTGACGGAGTGGTAGCATCCATTGTTTCTTTCAGCATCTCTTCTTGGGGAGGGGGGGGGGGGATAACATCCACCATCATCCCACCCACCGGTGAGTCACGTCAATCACTATCACACCCACAGGGAGGGGGGGGTCACGTCCACCACCGGGGGAGGGGTCTCATCCACCACCATACCACCCACCGGATGAATAGTAAAATCATATTTAAAATAATTTATATAGAAAATATATGATTTTACCAGAACACCTTCTCCCCCCCCCCCTCCTCTCCAACTTTCACGTGCCCCTCCCCGAAAAAAAATGCCTGAAAGAAACCCTGGTCGTAATATCCTGACCACTGTTATTATCTATTATCGATGAAGGAGAGAAACGTAATTGATCCTTTGTTTAAAATTAAATATTCAATTCTCCTCCCCCCCCCCCCCCCCCCGCTTAAATTTCTGCTACCGTTATTTAAATTTTAACGATGAACTCACGCCATCAAAGATTTGTCTTTTTTTTTCTTTTTCGTTTTTTTTTTTTTTTTTAACTTTAAGAGCCACGGAACATCTGACAATTTCAAAATTTCAGATCTTTTTTTCGTTTTTCGCGTCTTTTGAAATCTTGCCTCAGATGTTCGCAGGGCCTTAAGAAAAAAAAATGTAAAATCTATATTTAGCTGAAATGTTGAACCTTTAAAAAAATAGAAATCGTTTCAAATCCCCCACCCCGCTAACTTAAAACGAGAATAGAACGTTTTGGCTTGTTTGTTGATCTAGTTCCTTTAGCTTGTATTCTGTCGTCATTTTTGTCCTCAATTATTCAACTTCCCGCCGTTTCCCAGACACGTCACGAAATCACGCTGGGTAGTCTCCCTTCAAGGCACCAATTAGTTTATTATTTTATTTTTTTTTAAACTCTAAACCTCTATTCATAATGTCGTACTTTACTGTGGAGTTCCACACATGAAGCCACCACTATTGCTAGGATGCTTCTTCTGTTCTTTACCTACATGTAAAAAATTACCTCCTACCTTTAATACGATTTTCAACTCGTTGCTTTTTGTCTAAATTAACGTCTTCAACTGTTACCTACCTTGACGCCTGCAGTCAACCTTTCTCCACCTTATCCCTAATAGACCGTTAACCTCAGCCTACCTACCCCCATCCCAAGCGCTAAACGTTACCTACCCCCTCCGTTTATCCCCACCCTATACGCATAAACTGTCAACCTGTATCTAACTTATCCCCTATGGTTAACCTTTACACCCCCCCCCCCCTCCACTTAATATTGAGCGTGACTTTTAAGTAGACAGACTCAGATCTTTCTGACACGGCAACTTTCAGCTGTCAACACAGGCATCACATCGATTTCACCCCGCCCACTCCCCTCCACCTCCCCACACCTCAGCAACAACTTGACGTCTACACATAATGTTGTTAGGAATTCGTCTCCATGAATTATTAAAAAGTCGTCTCACATCGTTTTTTTTTTTTTTTTTTGCTAAAGAAAAAAAGATTTTAAATTCGATCTTTTGTTTAGATATGCATTTTGTGTTTTTATTATTATGATAGATGTAAATAAGCTTTTCTTTTATTGATATTTTACCTTCTATGTAAATCAGGGTACATAACTCACGTCAGGGAAAGTAAAGGCGGCTGGGCATAGTGCTGACCACACTATCTCTTCATATGCCGAGGTCACACAACCAGGTGAACTCTACTTCACTTGCCCAATAGATCGTTAGGTTTGGAAGGGAAACTTTCACTTTACCTTCTATGTAAAGATACATATTTTATGACCCTCCATTGTCCTTTTTTTTTCTTTAATTTAAAAAGAAAGCAGTTGTACTAAAACATGTGACCTTGTAGTTGAGAACCAACAATGTTACCTGTACGTTGAAGACTAAGAGTAGGCAAGAGGTCAAAATGTGTATGACATGACCTTGCTTTTTTTTTACTGATAAGACAGACACAGGTTAAGGAGTGTTAAATAGAATGTATAGTACATGACTAGACATGCTTTCTGACAGAGCTTGGGCACGTTTTTGTGAAGGTGTTGGCACCTTCCTTTTCCTATTGTTATGTAGTGTCACACTCATTATGGTCGTCCTGATTTATAAGGGTGAACTGTACTACCTTTCAACACTTAAGTTATTTATTGATATGCATATACATGCTCTTACACACATACACAAACACACACACACACAACTTGTACCTTAAGGTAACTCAACTTTATGCCCTTGTGTATGTGTGTGTGGGGGATATATGGAGTTTTGGCTGTTACTTGGTGTGTGAATTCCACATTTTTTATACCCCCCCCCCTCCATCATAAACTTGTTGATTCCACCTGGTCCCCTATCAATGGTCTATGGATCCATCTCATACGTTGTTTTTCCTTTCTTTGGCTAATTTGAATATTTTCAATATCCAACCCAATTAATGTATGCAGCACGATGAAATGCCAATCTTACATATGCTTCTGTTACATAAGGGATTACATTATTCATCTAATTAGCTGTAATTAGCTTTGATCATTTTTTCTTCTGTTACTACAAATAGTGCAGCCATTGCCGCCATTTACTTTATTCTTTCATCTTCTCTTTGATTCCCTGATTTTGATAAACCACCTCTCCTACCGACTGTTAAGTCAACACCCCTCTCACTCTTCCTATTGGTCTGTTCTTATAAACAAGAACTCCTCTATATTGGACTGTTCACATTAGCCACCATTTGATTTTTTTCTATTGTTTTCGGATAAACTAAAATTAACTTCTCTAAATTTAATTTTAAATAGATTAAATAAGTATAAAATTTCTAAATTTGTTTTCAGATTTGACACCTTAGCCTTGGTTATACTTTGAAAAATGCTACAATGATAGCATCTGATTGTTTTTTCAAATTAAACAATAGTAAAAATAAAATATCAATTTTTTTTATTTTTTTGTTTTTTTTACAGCTGATGAAGTAGATCAACCAGTTAACGCAGAAGAAAAAATAATTGATGACATTATAACCAAACTCCAAGAACAACAGCAAGCTGATTCAAAGCAAATAAATATACCACAGGGTAGGAGTTGCATTTTTTGTTTCTTATAAATATGTTCACTAATGTTAGTCAAGTTTTTTTATTTTTTCACAGTTGCACTTCAAGTCAACAGAACATCTTTAGTCAGTATCACTTATGACAACAACATATAGTTAAATTCCTCATTTACCAACTATGATCTCTAGACTACCTAATTCTTACCCTTCCTATTTTCCCAAGAACAAGCACTAACACTAATCTTAACTTAGACTACTGATTATGGTAGAAATAAAACAATTGGATGCTTGTTGCTCCTGGCTACATTTTTGTTTTATTTAGATTTTTAACATGTTTTCCTTTTCCTTAACATACACTTTGATAGAAAATATTTCACACATAATGGTAAAATGTATCAAATTAAATAAGAGACTGTGGTCATATTTATGTCTCAGCTATGCAGTTGTTGCATAGACCATACACATTATGTCTAAAATATACAATGGATCAATATAGTAATCTATAATTTTAAAATTGAAAATCATTTAATGCTGTTAATTCTTTTTAAAATGTTGCCAGGTTTTTCCAACAAGTCCTGCTTTCTTATTACATATTTTGATTTGGCAAACAAGACTATATAAATGAAATGAATACAGATGGCCCTGATTACATACATGGATTCACCATTGTGATTAATTATAAATTAAAGTTTAAAACTAATAAAAAAAACAATAATGGAATCTTCTTTTAAAAAGGGGTGTAACCTTATCTCTAACTCAAATCTTAACATAGCCCTCTGAATTTCAATTCTGACCCTAAACTTAATATTACAATACCACTGTTTTTGGGAGAGTCCATTGTGTGACATGATTAGCAGGTAGACACTTGAATGTAATCTAATGAGTCAGTTAATGATAAGCCAGTGAACATTAGAGATGTGTGTTACTAGAATCATACAAAGTCTTAAACATGGTGTATAGGCCTTAAATTCACTTTAAGACTTTATATGCTCTTTTAAAAAGTGACGCTCAACATTACAATAGATGATGTAACATCACACAAATGATTAACAACATTACATTCCATTGAGTTTTATACTGAAATAGTTTTTTTTAGACTCTCCTTTGTTAGCTTTTTTTAACCCCACTTTATAAGTGCTATACTTTCAGCATAGGTTTTTATAACTCTGGCTGACATAAAAAAAAAGACTGACCTATTAAATGAGCGTGCATGGAGAGAAATAGTAACATCTGTTTATTGATTAGATTGTAGATATCAAATGTAAGTTACAGTCCTTGTCCATTCATGTTTATCTCCCCTGGTTTTTTGGTAGATGTGGGGGGGGGGGGGTTACTTAAGTACAGGATTACTACCACATGTTGTTAAAAAAAAAATTCTGAAATTATTATTACTGTCAGGTTGATAGCAGTACTTGCCTACATATATTTTTTTTTCACACATACACTTCAGTTCTTACTTTATTTATATAAATCTTATTATTTGGTAAAAAAAAAATATGGCCACAAAAAAAGTTACATGTTTTAAACTCCTCTTTTTTCCAACAAACACTCATTTATTAAAAATATTGATAGTGTAACTTAAATAAATTAAAAGTTTTATAACCACCAATTTAATTAGAAATGTTTACCCATGTAATTTGATGAACTACAGATTATTTAGTGTTATTTATTGATGTTTTATGAGATCAATTTCTTAACAGTCAAATAATCCATCAGATTTTTTTTATTTTTGTGTGACACTGGTATATACACAGCTGCCTTCACTTTCTAGACTCTGGCCCCAATACACCCCAATCTGAAAAATATGGTATGGGGAGTCCACAAGTCTGGAGACGATTGTGCACTTTGTCAACATTGTTGTTTGATTCTTCTGATATAAATAATATTAATAACGATGAAGAAGAAAAAGTTCAATCAACCAATACTTAACTCCTGGGGAGGTTGGGGGTATCACAGTTGATTTTCTCAAAATTTTCTATAATTCTCAAGCCTCTGCTGCTCTAAATAATTCTGCAGCCCTGTCTATTCCACTCAATTTTGTCTTTGCCTTCCTCATCTTCTCCCTCCTCATCTTCTCCCTCCTCATCTTCTCCCTCCTCATCTTCTCCCTCCTCATCTTCTCCCTCCTCATCTTCTCCCTCCTGGCACCGTGCTCTGCCTTATTGTTATTGGCAGGCATGGCCTGCGTGACATGCAAATAACCTCTTAGTTTCTTTGGCAGGACTATACCCATTTGTTAAGTGTTCTCTGTATAATACATTGAAATTTTTATTTTTTTTTATTTTTTTAAAATTTATTTATCAGAAAAATTAGAAAACTCTCAATCACAAGGCATCAATTTAGAAGAAGCGCCAGTAGCCAGTGTGAGCAGTAAATCAGCTCCAGCAGCTACAACACCTAAACTAGGCCAGGCAGGTGAAACAGCCCTTTACCAGCACAACCCAGGGGACGAGGATGGAGAGAAAAGAAGTGGAGGATCGTTTATATCTGAGGATGATAAAACTTTTATAAGTATGCTCATTTGTTGCTTCATTATATGTTGAACAGGATTTGAAAATAGTCAAATAAGTAAAAAAAAAATCATTTTGTTTTTCACATTGTTTTTTTACTAAATATTTTAATAAATTCCACTCATTTTTAAAGAATTGAAAGGAAAAAAAAATTGCACTATTTTGAAGTCTCTGATCTTTGAGGATGTCAACTGAATTTCTGTCAGATTAATTTTATTTACATTTGATTAATTTACTTAATTTAGTATTTTTTCTTTAAAACCATGTCAAATCTGTTTTCTCTTTCTATCCTCCCAGTTATCCTGGCATGTGCAGTGGCCACTGGGTTCATAGGGCTCATGTTTGCAGGTGTCTGCTACTACAAGTAAGTCAAAACACATTTTTTTCTATTCGCTCTTTTGTTGTCTATCTTTTTTTTTAATTATATATTTTATTGTAAAAATGATCTGAAAAGTATTATAGTGTATGCCAATTATCCCATTGAATAGTTTGTAAGAAGGTTGAAGCTCACTTAGTCTTGTGGTGTTTGAGAAATTTTTTTGTTATAAATTATCTCATTAGTTTGCTTGAGTGGTTCCTAGATTTGACAGCTTCTTGTTTTAGAGCTAGCTGGCTGAGAGGCTTTGTTGAACAACAAAGCTGTTCTGTGGTATAGCTTAAAACAACATTCTGGTTTGTGTTGAGAGCTGTTCAACTCAGCTTCTTTGTCCTTGATGGGATGTTGTTTTAAAGAGATTTTATAATATCTAGTTTATCTTGAAATTTTTTTTCCTTTTTATATTTGCTTAAAAACAGTGTTTTAGCTAAGAAAAATGTTAAATAATTTACACTAGGTTTTTATTTCTATTAAGTAAAAAAAATTCTCTTTAATTAAGCTATATATTCAGATAATTTTTTTGTGTAACATAGTTTTTATAATGAAGAAGAGGATTCTTTAATTAAGTTGAAAATCCAGTGGAATGTGTTACTGTGGATTTTTCACATTTCTTTGTGGCTTTTGTAAATCAAGACAATTGAAGACCCAAGAAGAAAATAAATGCCTTGTAGAAAAATCAAATTCTGATTGCGTTGATGCTCAGAATGGGGTGGTGGAGGATGAACCACTCTACTTGTATTACAAAACAGAGAATTCACCGAGGTTTGTTATTAGTTGAACCTGTCTACTGATGATGTATGTTTTAGCTACTATTTTCTACTGATGATGTATGTTTTAGCTACTATTTTCTACTGATGATGTATGTTTTAGCTACTATTTTCTACTGATGATGTATGGTTTAGCTACTATTTTCTACTGATGATGTATGGTTTAGCTACTATTTGTTATGAGATAGTGTAGCATTTTCAACACCTCTTTTCTTCTTTACCTCCATAAGGTACTGACTATGTGATGTTTATATAACTTTAACTTAAAATAGTACTCAAACCTTTTAGTTAAATAACAGAATGCTCTACCTCTTGACCACACCAATTGCAGTATATTAAAAAAACTTGTTGAACTTTAACCTACATACACCATTAGTACTCAGAAGTATGTTACAGTAAGCAATGGCGTATATACTATTGATCTGATCAGTGAATCTAGAGAGGCTACAAGCGTGTATGGGGGAAATAGATTTTTTATTTTAGAGATCAGACATGATCCCCCTGGGCTAATCTGACAAGCTTAAGATGTTGGGGGTTGTATTTCTCCAGGCTAATCTCTCTTATTGCAGCCATATATTGCAGTGGATAGGAATTGGTCCGCTTAGATGGTTTTTGGGGAGGGGTGCAGGGGAGGAGGCCCAATACTTCTCCGCAGTAGTTTGAAAAATAATAAAATGGTTATTATAGAAAAGACAAAGACCTTTTAGAACTGATGGTCATTGGGTAAAGTAGAGTTTGTTTCTGTGACCTCAGCATCTAAAGGAATGGTTTGTTGAGTTCTATGCCCAGCCACCGTTTCTTTTCATAACATGTGTCAGGTACCCATTAGAGCTGGGTGGTCTCAGTGGTGTCCTAGAAACTCTAGTTGTTGTCCTGTGCTGTACAACCTCCCCATGGCATCCCAGGCTAATTACAACTACCCACACAAAATGATAATCCAAGCTTGGTATTTAGAGTGTCTACTCTACCTGATCTGGTGAAGCTAATAGACCTAACTGAGATAATAACCAACAGCATTTATTCTACCCTTCTGAAGTTCTCTTCATTGATTTCAATGTTAAAATCTACAATGGAGGCAACCGGGTTGATGAGAATCCTTCTATCATTTTGTTGACATGGATGAAAAACATGCTTTTTAATAACAATGCAAATTTAAACCACATGACCTAGTTCTGACATATTTTTTTTTACAATTTGTACAATAAAATTTATGCTAGCCTATCGAATAGCAGGATGCCATTGCTTATATTGCCAGTACACGCGAAATCCCATCATATCATTTGTTTGTTCTTCATTAACACTTTTTGAGTTCCTACTTATTTTTTTTTAAACTACTGTACGTTAGTTATACTCTAAGAGAAATAACCCTTTATTATTTTCTTAAACAACAATTTTAGAGTAGTCTTTCTTTAAAAGATTTAGTTTTATTATTAGCTAAACACATGTGACTCAATCCAATATTTGAGTCATGCTGAGCCATTGGCTATTTTAGATAAAGGCAAATAAGTGTATGGGGCGGGCATAGTGTATACTACTGAATTTGGGATTCTAGACCTACCATTTTAGCTATCTCTAGTATCATTGTGTATAGAATAATGCTTTTATGATCAAAACAAAATAAAGGACAGTTAAAGGCAAATAAGTGTATGGGGGTGGGAGAAGTGTATACTTATAAATTTGGGATTCTTGATGACCTACAATTTTTGCTATAATCTAATAGTATCATTTTTGTTTAAAATAATGCTTTTATGATCAAAACAAAATAAAGACCAGACTTTTGGTTGTTTTTTTTTACATTGAAATTTTTTTTTACCACAAAAAACTATTTCAGTAGTTTTTTTTTTAATTGTTTGCATCAGACACACATACACACTGCTATGCTAGAAGTTACCAGGCTGTAGTAAGTTAGTTCCCCTTTCAAACCTGAACGGCCATGGGGGTAAGGGAAGTAGAGTTCACCTGTTTCTGTGACCTCGACATATGAAAGGATAGTGTGATTAGCATCATGCCCAACCAGGCTCAAGTATTAATGAAATGATGAGCACATTAAGTTGAGTTCGTTCAACTAATGCTATGACTAAGTTCATCGTGTTGGCCTTTGTGTTCACTTGTGACTAAGCATATGAAAAATTCTTTGTTTACACTGGTTAACTAGGCCACCCATTGTCTCACCCCTCATCTGTTAATGAAAGCAACCAGCCTGGGATAACACTGTGTCAGTCGTGAAGAAAGTTATGAGGAAAATATCCGAGGTATTTGAAAGCTGTATTGATTTTATAGATCCGCCAGCTGCAATTTAGTCTATACTTCTAACAGACAGGCTTGCAACAGATTGCGAGTTTCAGTTGGTTGTTAGATAAATATATGCTTAACAATTCACAGGCTGGACATTGTTCTATTAAACATTCCTGCATAATTAGTTCATTATTATTCCGCTGTAGTGCTGTTCTGTAATCTGAGAATATTTATTCATATTACTGTGATTACAGTTAGGGAAATTGTGCGGTAATTTGTTGTTAGTGGATAAGTAGGTCACATGGTCTGCTGTTTTTTTTTTTTTTGTTGACTGATTAGTGGAGACATAGGTATCACACAGCTGGCTTCTTATCTTAAATTCCACGTGTGTAAGATTGCATAGGTCTTGGCATAGTTTGATACTTGGAAATGTGCTGTAATACTTGTGTTGTGTTGGTTATTCCAAATTCTATATCATAGCATCCAGAAAACCTGGTTTAACATATAATGTCATTTGCGCCTCCTATAATATATAAAATTAAATTCAAATCTTGGTAAGCAGTAGTGTTTAAAAATTTAACTAATTCATTTTTGTTTTGAATGTTTATATCTACCTTTGTTGCATTCGTAGCACTGAACTTGTAGGAATGTTAACAAACCAAAATTAAATATATTAATACTGGAACCATTTTATTGGAAGAAGCTACTTTTCAACCATGGCTATTTATATTGAAGTTAATGTGGCTCGTATAATATGCTTTGAGAGGTTTGAAAGGTTTGTATTAGATTCTCTATACAGAATTTAATAAGTGTTGTTATTGTAATTATCTAATTCATATCTGTATATATTGTTAATCAATAGAAATACTGTTCTCACTGTTAAAAACTGTTAAAACAGTTTAAGTAAATAAATGTAAAATGTTTTTTCTTTAAATTAGTGTTTTTTTATCTTCCTTTTTAATTATTTTAAGGGTTTCAAGCAATCTTCCACAAACCATGTATTGAGAATTTCAAAAGCTAGAACTCCATTTTTATAACTGTGTAGTTTAGAACATATTGATTTTCAGATATATTTTTTTATGTTTTGTTTTGGCTTGTTATTAACAAACACAATGACATAAGCTGCTGCTTGTTAAGAGAAAAAAAATATATTTCTTGTTGTGTGGTCTCTCTGTGTGTTATGTAACTGTTACTAGTTGAAGCTGTACATATCATTCCCTCTCTTATATTTGTCTCTTCTTAATTTTAGCTAAATAAATAGGAGATGCAGATTGCTTTAATGCAAACAGATATTTTTTTTGTAACTTTTCAGAACATTTGCTGAACATTTTTTGAAGGACTTACTATTAATTGTTAAATTGTATAAATTTTTCGCCAAATTCAGGATTGTGTTTTCTCCATCCTCAGGTTCCGCAAGAGCGCCAAGGCTGCGTCTGATGTTGAATACCCAGCATATGGAGTTACTGGTCCTACAAAGGAGAAAGTGCCCTCTCCTGGTGACCGCAAGTTAGCTCAGAGTGCTCAGATGTATCACTACCAACATCAGAAGCAGCAGATGATTGCCATGGAAAAGTCAGTTTTCAATCTACATTCTTTATTTCCTCATTATTCACCATTTATGGGATTAATCTAGACCCTGCAATGTTACTTTGCACATTTTGGGAAAAATAATTTAAATCTGGTTTCTTATCTACCCTCTTTAAAAACTTTTGGTTTAATGACATGTCTAATTGTAAGTGATATTTTCTATAACATATATTGATTATTGCTCTTATGAATATCATAATTTTTAATATTGATTATTGCTCTTATAAATATAATTTTTGCTTTACATTAGGAAAAAGCAAATTTTAACCTCTAGACACAAAAACTAAAGAAATTTAAACATTTGCCCTTGAGTTAAATTGATATAGTTGATGTTGTTTTTACAAAAAAAGAATGCCTGCATTAATAAACAAGAAAAAAACGGAGCTTTGACAATCAATTTCCTAATTATTTAACCATCATATTGTCCTTGTTATTTCTAAGTTTGCCTAAAAAAAAACACCTAATCATTGTGCCAAATCTTCCCTGATATTTTTCAAAATAGTTTAAAATTTATGTATGTGTAGAGTTTATTTAAAACATGATTCTCAGCTATTAAAAAAAATTAAATTAATTTCTGTGTAGAGTTTATTTAAAATACGATTCTCTGCTATTAAAAATAATTTTAACTTTAATTCTGTGTAGAGCTAATGGTGATATGAAACACGACGCATCAGATGACGAGTCTGATGACGACAATGTGGAAGGAGATTATACAGTTTATGAGTGTCCAGGTTTAGCACCGGTAAGTTTGTTTACATGCTAGTTAATATTAGATAAAACCTCATTTTTTTTTCATTTGGACTGAATTCTTATAAAAAAAAATTTATGTTTAAAAGAAAGCAAGTTTGATAATATAGAAGTTAGTTGCTTTGGTATAAAACTTTGTTTCCAATGAGTAAAAATTTGTTTCAAGGAAGTTAAACTTTGTTTCAAATGAGTAAACAAATTGGTGTATAATTTAGTTTTAATTAATTTTTTATTTGCATAGAAATTTGTGTCTATTTATATATAAATTATTTAGAAATATGTCAATAAATATGCACAAAAATTTGACTGGCAGCTGATGCAGATCTATTTTCTTCTCTAGACAGGAGAAATGGAGGTGAAAAATCCACTTTTCCATGGCGATGAGACGCCTGTCACACCTGGACAAGATATTACAGGCCAACCTCATGGACAAGAGCCATCGCAAGAACCGGAGAAATAAAAAAACCTCCTCTTGACATGGCACACCCCCTCCCCCCCTTTCATCCCTTTCCCTGGTTACAGGTCGTCATTAAATTGTCATCTGCGGCAGTCATCTGCTTACCTCCCTTGTTGTTTAAATTTTTCAGTTCTAAACTGTGCAAGGCAAAATTTAAATAATTAACTTTTTAAAAAATAATAAATCCCAGCGCGGAGTAAAATTAATTAAAAAAACTTTTTCCAAGATGTTGGTGGAATTACCAGGATGAAACAATCAGCTTGTGTTCTCTCCCAAGAGTTTGTTGTTGTCTGGTGGGGTTGTGTTGATATTGTTTTATTTTTGTGCCAGTTTTCTGTGATTACACTAATGATGACATTTTTTTTTTTGTGCTGTGAATAATTTATTTCCTAATTTTTTGAAGGCATATTTTATTTACATAAACAAAATGTAATAGTGTTTGTATGAATCCTTATCTATGAGGAGATATCTTAATATGTTCTTAAGGACTTTACCTAAATTTCAAATTTTTTGAAACAGTTGAAAGATGTGTTCAAAATTTGTAATATCTTAGATCTAAAGAAAAACCTCTGCATAATCAGAAAATTTTACTTTACTTAATTTATTCTTTTTATGATTCTCTTGTTTTTGTTGTAGTTTTAGCAATGAATGTATTTTAGTCATTACTTTATGTCTTGGGGTATCATTAGGTTGTTTTTTTTTTTGTATTTTTACATATCATTTTGTTTATCTTCTTTTCAAGCTACAGTTTACTAACAAAACTTTCTTTATATAAAAAAAATTGAGATTCAAAGTCAGTTTCTTTTTATGATTATGATAAAAAAATTTAAAGCAAATTTTTTGGAATATTTGAGTAAAAAATTTAAAGTAATTTTTCATCTTTTCTAAAAAAAAAAAAAAATCTATTCGGAAGTTTTAAATTGAAATTAAATCACTGTTTACTTATTAAATTTTGATCTCTTTTCACTGTCTTTCGCATAATTTCGATTTTGGTAGTAAGCCTACGATGTCTTGTCTTTACAGAGATAATCTGTTTTAAAAGCTTCAACATTTTTAAACACATTTTCTCTTTTTACTCTACTTAATTCTACATTTTGTTCACAGTAGGCAACATGCTTCTCCCAACTACCCACATTCTCTGGGACTTGTGTTTGTTTTGTTTCTCATTCCAATTTTTTTAGCATTCCCATGACAAAGTAAAAAGTATTTTCATCCAGTCCACAAGTATGATTTTAAAACATTTATTTATCTGGTTGTGATTTTAATATTTAATTGAATGGTACCTTTAAAAACCATTTTTAAAAGAAAAGGCAACAAAAGATAATCTTGCTCAATATTTTATCTAACAAGAATAATTTCATTTGAAACTCGATCCATATATATTGTTTGGGCATTAGCTTCACGCTATCTAATCTTATAATAGTTTCGCACCTAGGGGAGGCAGGTTGTCTGCAATTGTTTATGTACAGAATTAGTTGACTTTGTTATCACTCGTTTAAAATCAATTCTAGATTATTCTACAGAATTGCTTTTGCAATTATTTCTATAATTTGCATTTTTAAATAATTTTTTTTTCAAAACAAATCTGCAATTACTTATAATTTTTGTTTTTGGGTTCTAAATTTTGTGTCTTTATATGCATTTGCTTTAGTCCAGCTAAATTGGTGAAAGGGTCTGGTAATGTACAGATAATTGTAGAGAAATTGTTAATGTTCCATTCTAGCTCATCATCTGTGATTAATATGTTAATTCAAAATTATACTCCACATACAATTATAATACTGATTATAATATTTTTCCATTATTTTACTTTGGGGCTTACATGCAGCTAAACATTTGGTTTTAAACTTTTTTAAATATTTTGGCACTCTGAACATTCTGGTTACAATTTTTAAATTACCTAGCCAGATTAACCACATTTCTTGTAAAGCAGTTTATTATTATATTAAGATTGGAAACAAATAACAGTACTGTAATCAAGGATTTTTTTTAAAGATATTTTTATTTTTTGTCATTGTGTTCTGCCATAATTTCATTTGTACATAACAGAAATCAGTTTGAACCCAAAGTTTAGATCTCTTGTTGCTAGATTTTAATTCAAGGGAAGATAATGTTCTGAGCTAGGGGACATAGTAGGCCTATTTTTAGCCATTGTACTGTTTAAACCACCAGGGGATTATCGGGGACTGTTGGGTCAAGAAGAATTTGGTGTAACAAAGGTGAAAGGGAAAAAAAATAAATTGCTAACTTGCTGCAGTGAAGCAGTTTTGTTATATTTTTATACTTTGGTTACTTTTAAAAAATTGAATTATGAGAAAGAGGTTTTTCTTTATCATTACAATAGATGTCAGAACAAGCATATTTCATGTAAAGTTATCTACAATCATTAACTTTAACATTAAACTAGCAACTTATGAAGTATGCATGTTAAAAAGCTTTTTAGCCCTGATTGTTAATGTTAATCCATAACATAGGATAGGTAATCTCATAGATAAAAACTACAGTTATTTATTCAAGCTTAGCCAAGGACTCAAATCTCTTGTTTTAGCAGTAGCTGATATTTGTCTTCAAGTGGTTGAGTTTTTGGTTCAAGTTCTTTTTGTAATTAGTGACATTAGATACAAAATCGTACTGATAAATTTTCTTTCATATTGCTCCCTACCTTTATAAAAAGTTATTAAAAAAAAGGTTGTTGTGACAAGTTAAATTTTAAAATGTACTTTTCAAAAAATTATTTCAACTATTCCATTAGAGGAATAAATGTTTAACAAAATAAATGTCCCTTTCATAATGCTAAATATACACTAGTACAAGATGTTTTTAAATTAGTTTTATTAGTTTGAAAGCTATTCTGTTTTTTATTATTTGAAATATTAATCTTTTTTTTATACAAGCCAAACTACAAAAATCTGTTTTAAAAACATTGTTCATTATATCACTGACAGCATTTCAGGTGTATAATAGCAACAGCAATATGAAATAAAATTTCAAATTGTTCCAGGTTTTTTTATGCTATGTTTTTTTTTACTATTTAGATCCTTAAGTAATTAAAAGAAAAACTAAGCATTACTATAAATATATCTCTTCCACCATGGTTACAATTATAAATTAGTATATAAGTAAGGTAGGAAGTATAATTGTGTAATAATATGCAAACCAAAAAGTCAAAAGAGCTAAAATAACATTTTTATTAAGTGATTCAGAAGATTTTATTTCAAATGAAAGCAGGAAAAAAAAACATTCTGGTATTTACAAAAAGCAGTGTAAAATCTACACATTTAGCACATATAGACTTAATATGGCAACCAGAATAACTCAGGTAAATATCTACTACCTGTCAGGAAACAACTGTTGCCTTTGTGTCAGGTACATACTATCATAAATATGAGTAACAGGCCAGAGGTCATTAACCTGTATCACAATGAGCATTAAGATGGATAAGATACAAGTAGAATGTGGACTAGAAGAAAATTTTGGTAAATCACATTTTTTATATATTCCATACCTAACAGTAAAGGAATGTTTACAAACACAATTTTAAAAAAAAAATGGAAAATGTTTCAATCAACACAAGTATACAAAAGGTATTGGTAAAGAACAAAAAGGTTACATAAACTTTTACTTGTATTTTATTAAAAGCACCATACATTTTAAAAAAAAATTCCAGTGAAACAAGAATCATTCAAACCACTACCTGAACTGAAAATGCTGACTCAAATAACATATGAAAACAATCACTCAAAAAGTAATTACAATGTTGCAACCCTGACTACCAGAAACAAGTTCAATTACAATTTCTAGCTATGATATCAATATGCTTTTATCCAAAAGACACATCAAATATGGTTCAAACAATGAAATATAAAAACAATTAGATTTTCTTTATTAAACAACATAGGAAAAAAATATTTACATTGTGATTATTTAACAAAAATAATCTAAAACATTTGAAAAGTTGGAAAAGTATTTTGTTATTGAAGGATGATTTTTGTTTTTGTAAATGGATCCTACAAAAAAGCTGAATCTACCTACCAACTGGTATTTACAGCAAGATGCACTTACTGTATTTTTACTAAATTTCTACCTCTAGGTAAGGAAAATTGCTGATCAAATAATTCATACTAAAAACAATGTAAGAAGAATTTAATTGCACATAACTAATAATACTAATATTTAGAGTTGCAGTTAATATAACTTATAAAAATAAAAATGCCAATGGTGTTTAAAAGAAAGAAATTGTAATCTAAGTGTAGTTTATAAAATCCATTTTATTATATTTAACAAAAGTAACTAAAGAAATTAATGTCAATATTACAGCTCCATAGGAATGTGATCTTAAAAGGTTACTCAAAAATATTTCATCTATAGAAATTATGCATTGGCACACATAAGCTAAATGTGTCTATAGACAACCAATGTTACATTTATAAACTGAAGCATCAACATTTTTTGGAAAATGAAAGGTACTTCTACAACAATGTCAAGAAAAAAAACAGAATTTGTAACTGTTATTTCTGGTGTGTAGGAGATGCAGGGTCCAGCATAGTCTTTCTGCGAGCTGTTTCTTTAGATATGTTGTTATGAAGCTTATTCAGTCTATCCTAATTTAAAAAAAAAAAAGATAAAAGTATTATCTACACATGAAATGCATTTACAAAAGAAAATACAATTTTATATATATATATGCACTTTACAACTCTGGAAAATGCTTTATAACAGACGAGTTTAAAGAAAATATTACTTATGATTTTTAAAAGAAAATTTTAATACTGATAAATATTAATACTGATAACAGTAAAAATAAAATCTTATGACATGATTTCAAATGACTGAAATCTTTCACACTTACATAAAATGAATGGTGTGGTTGGGAGGTAGAGCAATTGCTAAACCAAAATAGTCTAGAGTTTTATCCCAGGCTCCAGACTAGGGCATCACCCAGCTCTATTGGGTACCTGAACTACTAAGAATTACGGCACCTCTGCATAGAACTAACCACACTATCCCTTTATAAGCTGAGCTCACAGACACAAATCATCTGCCCAATGGTCCACCAGGTCAGAAAGGGTAACTTACTTAGATAAAAAGAGGCAATAAATTTCAACTAAACTAACCTGCACATTTTGTAAAATACTATTGACTAGCATCACACGTCTCCTGGAACTGTTTAACTTTTTTACGTATGGTTCCAGTTCCATTGGCACAGGGTCACTGTCTGCAATTTTTTTCAAGTCTGCCAGAGAAATCAAGTGTTAACATACTAATGTAAAGGTGCATAGTAAATTAGTAAAGGTACTTTCAGTACACTAAAAGTAGTAAAAGTAGTAGTGATTTACCATTACAGAATATTAAGAAAAAGGTTAATTTTTTTAATGAATCTTGCGAAAAATGTATGCATTTAACACTAAGAACATAAGGCAATAAATAAACTTACTAAGAAGCTTTATAATATACTTGTAGTTTTTTTTATATATTGATAAGTACAATTTAAGTGTAATATTTGTAATTAGAAAGAACATTTAATGAAAACTATTTTAAATAACAATTACTCTCACTTCACAAGTGAGTTCATCAATTATTTCTGATGCACTATTTAGGAATTCCTCTAATAATAAATTTCAATAAGGCATTCATGAATGCTAATGTTATTGTTGACTACTAAGTTAAAGTACCTTCACATAATGTGTCGATCTGTTGTCTCAGTTCAACTTGGCTTTCCCTAAAAAATAAATTATCATGTAAATTATTCAATAATTGCTAATAAGATTAAGCAATGAGACAATACAAATCAGATCATCTAAATCAGGGGTCTCCAAACTTTTCAGCCCGAGGGCAACATTAACTATGAAATATCAGTTCGGGGGCCAGAGTTTCTTCAAGGCATCTCTTTGAGGTGGTGGTGCCCCCCCCCCCCCCAAAACGAAATATAATTTATATAGAAATATATACACAATTCAATGACCTCCAGCTGCTGTTCATCTTTGCAACTGGCCACATTTGCATCTAATGGGTTTTGAAATAGTCTCACTTCTTCTGCATTTGAATCCAAGTCAGAAAACTGCTACTGAAACTGCAGCCGGGGGTCTTGGATGATCTCACATACAAATGACGTGGTTCCCCACGAGTGGGTCAAGTTGTTGGCCTGTACTTGTTCCAAAAACAAGACAAGTCTGGATCTGAAGGCCTTTAGGTGGGTGTATAGATCAGAAACTAGATTCCCCTCTCTTGTAGTTTTAGGTTCAAAGAATTTAAATGACTAGTTATGTCTGCAGCAGAGGCCAATTTCTATACACACTCTTCATCAGACATTAATGGCTGTGGTTTGCCTTTACTTTCCAAGAAGTCACCTATTTCCTTTCATAACTTAAATACTCTGCTCAGAACTTTCTCGCAAATTAGCAATCTTACTGCTGTGAAATATGGTGAATCTTGCAATTTTGTGTTTGTTTCTGAACTATCTATGGTTAGATATCCTCTTCGGTAACAGTGTCATACATTCTATGTAGGGAAGCCAGCTCTTGTGTTATGTTCATGTCTTCATCCACACCTCTAATGAACACAGGAAGTTGAGAGGTGGAACAGCTGTCCAGCGACTCATCCATTGCAATTGAAAAGTGGCTGAACTTCCTTGAATTTTTCGCTATTTTAGTCACGATTTTTTCACCAATGTCTGCAACACTGAAGGCAATTTTATTTGCACCAAAAGCTACATTTTCAAATTGTTTTGAAATTTCTGTGCAAAGTTCCTCAGCCACTTCTAACAAACATTTATTCATTGGACAAAAGGATCGCTGCGGGCCGGATGAGAGGACCTCGCGGGCCGCATCCGGCCCGCAAGCCGTAGTTTGGAGACCCCTGATCTAAATTATTAACTGATAATAGAGAAAATGTCATTTTTCTAAATAAAAGAGTGTACTGTTAAAAATCTTAAAATGTTAGGACAAATTTGAACTGATAATCCAAGTTGACGACTTTTTCAGCTCACATAATTGTAGCTAACATCCAGGTATTACATTTATTTAAAGATATTTTACAGTGAAATCACACCATCACAGCTGGTGTTGCATTTTCTGTTGTATAGGATAACATTTGATGCTCCTTCAAGAGATAGTCTGACCTAAACTGTGCTCATGTGGTCATGTGTCCTTATTGTTACGGGTTTGCTGTAGCTTAGATTAGAATAGACTAGAATAGTTTAGAACATAGGGGAGAGGCGTGTGTGAGTTGAGTTAACCCAGGGGTATTTAGGTATTGTAATTGCAAGGCTGAGTATAAAAGCTGGAGTGGAGAATTGTAAGTGGCTTTTGTAAGTAGTGGCTAGGGACGAGGGCTTGTGGTGTAATGATAAAGTTAAATAAAGGTTTTGAACAGTGCCTTGAATCATGTTTGGAGTTGAATGAAAGGTGGATTGTAATAAGTAGTAATTAAAGTAATAACTCAGCCCTGTTAGTTCATTAATTTTTGGGGTCCGTGCCCTACTCTTGCCCTTTAGGTTAGGTCTTCCTCCCTGTTCCCCTTCTTCTCCACCATTGTTCTGTTAGTTCTAGCTCCTTTAATTTAAGTCTTTCTTCTTTTTTTGGAACAAGTCAGTCGGAGGCAAATAATTTTTTCTGATGACAATTCTCCTCAAAAGGAAAAAGTGGATTCCCGTGCAGCATAATAAAGTGGCTTAAAGTTAAAGAAGTTATATTTATATTACTGATCTAGATCTCTACTCTAAATAGATAGAATATCTAACTCTAACTAAATTTAAATTACTAAATTCTAAATAATAAATATAGATCTAGAGATTTAGATCTAAATCTAGCATTTTGAATTTTCTTGTACTTCTTGCATTGGATGATCTGATCGGAGTTACTCATGACATAAGTTAAACTATTATTTTAAGTTTAGAAGTCTATTGACTTTATTATTCTATTCCGTTCCTACCTTACACCTTTAACACGATCGTCGATTTCTTCAACAGCTGGCTTAAGCAAATCTACCAATCCTCTCGTGATTGCATCTCGATTCTCTGTATCAAGAGGTTTTTCTCCATAAACTGCCATTTTTAGTCAAGTGACCTAAAAGGTTAGATTATCTCCCTTGTCAAAAGCCCTAGATTTATCTAGATCTATAAAACTAGGCTACAATTTAAATTTACTTTGAAACGTATTTTAAATTAACGTAGCTTTCTGAATTTTAAAGAATTTTTATAAAACAAGCAATATCTCCTTAATTTCATAATTCATCTAATATATCGATCATAAATGTAACAAATTAACTTTTAAAGTTAAACGTATAATAAATTACCGGATTTCGTTTCACAGGAAATTCCAGCTTTAATTTTATTACTTCAATGTAAACAAGATGGCAGCTCCCATTATCAGAGTATTTGATTCAGAAGATGAAGTTTCGCAAAAACTTTGCGAGTTTGTAACATCTAAAGCGAATGAAGCAATACATGAACGTGGATTATTTAAAGTAGGATTTTCTGGTATGTTGTTTTATAATAAAATCAGTAGGCCTACCTACCTGTTTGACTGGATTTGTGTTTGTTGAGTTCTCAATGCCGGCATCAACAAACTTTCACTGAAAGTTGAAAGTTTCAGACAGTTTCAGTGATCTATCTAGTTGGAGTAGTTACTAGATCTAGATCCTAAATATCTAGATCTACTACTTAACTTACTAGTACTCACTTAGACTTAGCTCGACCGGAGTTATTAGTGTCTTTAAAATTTAATTTTATCATATTGAAAGCATGACGTGAGATTTTTTAAAAATAAAATTTCCACACATCGTCACATCGTGATTGCTTGCTTACCTTTACTATCCCATGGGTAAAAAATCCCACCATGGTTGGCGGGGTCACTGTGAGTTCAGCAGGCCTATAGCACACATCACAGTATGAACACATGTTCACAAGATCATCTGTTTTCACTTCTCTCTTCCCCCCCTTTCAAACTTTCAAGCAAATTGAAAATCAAACCTACTTCTGTTTTTTTTTTAAGTTCACATAGGCTTAATAATATAGACTTAGATTCTAAATCTACTACCACTCATGCTTGATAGCTGTAAAAAACAATTTACTAAAGGGTAGGTTGTCTTATTACAATTTTTTAATTAAAATTTTCTGTCACTTATCATATATCATTACAAACCATATCACTTACTGGTTAATTTGAGACCAAATTTAATGGTCTAGCTTAATTAGGGGCCGAGAAAACAAACAAAAACAAAATGACCTATTAACATCTTAAAATGCGAAACTCTTTTTCGCCATCAAAAAGTTACGTTGGTTTGTGTTTTCCATTCGTAGCATGATGTCATAGCAATTACGACGACATTGGGTATTTTAGTTACCAAAAAAAACCAAAACATTTTGTTAGAAATAAAACTTTATATTCATTATGTTTATTAAGGAAATATCAGACATATTTATTATAAATTCTTTGTACAATGTACAATTTAAGACATTAGGCATTCCATGATGAATTGAACAATCAATACCCATGAAGATGACAATAAAATTAATATCCAAAACTAAAAATAGATCTGACAGAAATCTAGATCTAGTCCTTCTAACTGTAACGACAATACAGTATTATTAGGTAAGATGATAAATGAACTTTTTTTTAACTTTAAAATTAAACACTCTATAATTAATATTCTCTTCTGTAGTAGCATTAGGTTAGGCGAAGTTTTCTTTTTTTTTTTTTTTTTACCAGCTATGCGTAGTAAATCTACAGTCCTGTAAGCTTGCGTGAACTTAAAATGACCCTAAGTTGATTTACAATTTGCTTGGTTTATGAGGGGAGGGGTGGGATTGCCCACCGACGATCTCTAACAGCAATAGTTAATGCTGTGACGTATGTATGGTAGGCCTGCTGAACTCACTGTGAACCCTCGACCGTGTCAACATTTTTCTCCCGCAGACAAGAAAATGTAAGCAGTCGATCTCGCGAGCGATGCGAGCGACGATGTTTGGAAAATTTTGAATAATTATTTTATAAAATATTATTTCGTTCAAAAAATTTTTTTTTGAAAAAGAAAGAAAATAAAACCGCTCGTGGCATTTCCCATGTGAAACAATAAAATAAAGCACAACTGATTTACGTCGGATTCGAACTCGGAGATTCTAGGTCACCTACCGCACCGTTCTATTTACTCTGCCACACACCACGATGTATTGGAAAATAAAATATTAGACATTTTGTATCAAAAGATTGCTAAAACTAAAAGGAAATAATTACTACTTCATTTATTGATATCATTCTACGTAGTAACTGAGTAACTGCGTAAATTTTACACACAATTCCTATATTTTTAACTAACACAACAGCATTAACGAGGTTGACTGTTGTGAGTTGAGGACAGGGTCGACAAGAAACCAACACGAAGTCCGTTCACAATTCGTTACTTTTATTGCTTGTAATATCACACAACCTAGGATGCCTATAAGAGAATGGACCCCCTAATAATCCTAACCCCACCTTTTATACCCCGCCTAACATCTAAGTTTTCTGCGCTCTATGTCACTTCCCTCCCAATCGTTCCTATGCTACAAAATGTGTGTGTACTATTTATTTACATTCTTTGATCTGAATATACTAAAATAGACTATAGATTAAAGGTTAATGGAAACATGTAAACAAAAGGGACGCTACTCTAAATCTACGTAAATACTTATATGTAACAATCCTAACATACCCCCCTCCCATAAAGGCTAATAATATATCCTTAATATGTTATTAGCTAGGACATAATATACACCAATAGACAGAGACAAATCTTGTCTTCCTTCTTGAGTCAATATGGTAGCTTGTACAACTTGAGACAGCCAGGCGCTAATAGGAATAAACAAACATACCAAGCTAACAATATTCAGTCACTAAGTCATAATTCGAATGCATCTTAACTTAAATGTACCTTTTCCTTCAAAAAAAAATTTTTATACTAACATTCATCATCTACTTATCTCAAATTTAAAACACAATAATTATTGTAATGCAAACATGTAATCAAACAGTATCATCATCTTAAAACATCATATATTTACATAATACAGCATTAATTGTAAACCTTTAAATGACCCTCTCCCAGCCCCTAATATCCTCAGTTCCTAGATAAAGTATCTGCAATAACATTTTGGGCCCCAGGAATATGTACAATGTCAAACCTGTAATCTTGTAAGATAAGTGCCCACCTAGTCAACCTAGCATTATGAAGTTTTTTATTTTCTAATGCTACCAAGGGGGAGTGGTCAGTCAGTAAGGTAAAATGTGTGCCCGATAGGTACTTAGACAGCTTTGTTACGGCCCACACGATCGCCAAACATTCCTTCTCAATCGTAGCATAATTTTTTTCTGACTCGGATAGCTTCCTGCTAACGTATACAACAGGATGTAGATGGGTATCTACCTCCTGCATCAAGCAGGCACCGATACCAAAAGCAGAAGCATCCGTAGCCAAAAGAAAAGGTCTGCCTAGATCAGGTAGCCTTAGAATTGGCTGCTCCGCAAACATCGTTTTAATACTATGTAATGTATCATCACATTCCTTAGTCCACTCAATACCCTTGTACCTTCCTTTCTTTCTAGTTAACTCTGTGATTGGGTGTACCAGTGAGGCGAAATTAGGAATAAATTTCCTATAATAGTTGCACAGTCCTATCAAACTACGTACTTCTTTTAGGGACTTAGGAATTTTTATGTCTAGAATATGCTTTAACGTTTCGCCCACAGGTTTTACAGTTTGGTACGAAATCATGTGACCTAAGAATTGGATTTCTGTCATGCCAATTTCAACCTTACTGGGTCTTGCTGTTAGACCATTATTTTTTAAAGCTGTGAAAAGCGCCTGTAAACCAGTGATGTGCTCATCCCAGTTCTTAGAGAATAAACAAATATCATCAAGATAAGCCACTGTATCATTATTACTCGCTAACACCCGTCTCATTAATCTATTAAAGGTGGCCGGGGCATTAATAAGCCCAAAGCTCATAAAATTCCAATGATATAAACCAAAAGGTGTCACAAAAGCAGTAAATTTCTTAGATGATTCTTTGATCGGGATCTGCCAGTAACCTTTAGATAAATCGAACTTAGAAAAAATTTTTGCCTGCGCTATTTTGATAAACAGTTCTTCCTGGTTTGGCATAGGCTCTGCGTCCGGTATTGTTACCTTATTCAACTGTCTATAATCAACACACAACCTGATCTCGTCATTTTTCTTTTTCACCAAAACGATAGGTGCAGCATATGAGGAGTCCGACGGTTCAATTATACCGGATTTTAATAAATCTTTGATTTCGGCTTGTACCCGTTCTCTATAGTGTAATGGTATATTGTAGGGTTGTAGCTTTATTGGTCGCCCAGATGTTAAATTGATTTCATGTTCTATAGCAGTCGTTTTACCAGGAATGGCAGACAATACGTCGCAGAAGTCGAGCAGAAGTTGTGAAATTCTGGTTTTAATGTCGTCAGGCATTTGTCCTAATTTTACATCCCTATAACTCTCTTGTCCAGATGACACTGTGTGAATCTCGTTGTCATCACAATCTTCAGTGTTGTTAATCATAGCGCAATTTACTGTAGGCGTCACGGTAGACAGTTCCAGCTCATCTGGCCGTACCTCGAATAAACTTAAAATGTTCACATGAAAAATACGGTGCTTGTTATTTATATCGACTTCATAGTCTACGTCTGTCACTTTTCTAGTAATCTTAAAAGGCCCCCGCCAAGCCAGCTGCATCTTATTGTCTTTTGAGGGTAGTAAAACCCTCACTAAATCCCCCACATTGAATTTCCTCAATCTCCGACTATTATTGATTCTGGCTCTGTATATTTCTTGATTAATATCTAATGACATTTTAGCTGTTTCACAAGTCCTAATTATTTGCTCACGTAGATCAATAACCCTCTCATAAGACATTTTTGTGTCACTATCTAATTGTTCATTCAATAGCAGGGACTTCATTAGCTGCATGGGTCCTCTAGGATTCGCGCCATATACTAATTCAAATGGGGAAAACCCGGTGACTGTATGCGGTAATTCCCTATATGCAAATAACAAACATGGTAAAATTAAATCCCAATTAAAGCTATCAGTTATGGGTAGTTTACTTAACATGGCCTTTATAGTGCCATTGAGACGTTCGCAAATGCCATTGCTTTGAGGATGGTAAGGGGTTGCAAAAACCTGTTTGATACCCAACAAACAGGAGATTTTATTAGTTAGTTCTGAGGCAAACTGGGGCCCGTTATCGGACAATATCACTTCGGGAAAACCCGTTCTAGAGAAGAACTGTATTAAACAGTTAATTATATCGTTCGAAGTTGTGGATTTGAGAGGGTAAGCTTCGGGCCATCTAGTCGCTAGATCAACTATGGTCAGTACGAACCTGTGGCCTCTTGCAGACGTAGGACTCAGAGGACCAATAATATCTATCGCAATTTTCTGAAATGGGCGACACGCTAGATCTGTTTTTTGTAACGGTGCTGGTTGTGGTGTTTTCCCCTTTTCCCCGCAAACTTTGCACGACTGTACATATTTAGCTATATCCCTGTCCATACCTGGCCAATAAAACGCTGTCTGAATACGTAGCTTTGTCTTTCTTCGCCCCATATGACCGGCAAGTGAAAGATCATGTGCCTGTTTTAGAACGATAGGTCTATATTTGCTGGGTGTGACCAACTGTGTATACTCCCTGTCCTTGTCTCTGTACACGCGGACCAACGAATTATTCTTTATCGTAAAAGCATGTGACGTAGACTTTGATAACGTGACTGAATTTTTTTGCGCTAATCTAAATATTTTCGCGAGGCTGGGGTCATCTTTCTGTTCCTTCTGGAACACCGCCGGATTCCATATCGATGTGACCTGTTCGTCCGATGCTTGTCTCGTCAACATGTTATTTACATTATCCGATTCTTCTACCCGTAGGGCTTCTTTCTTTGTATGAGACCTAGTTTGTGCCAGCGTAATTCGCTGCGTCTTTAACCACTCATAGATATATTTTTCTGAAGGATTACCTATACCTGGACCGTTAGCAAGGATTAGGTCATACGGGCCCTTTTTAAACACCACCGCTTTCACCTTACCTGTATAGAAAGGGGTATCAATATGTATTATCGCCACAGGCCAGGTGTTCGCTACACCACCAAAACCTTCAACCTCCAATGATTGTCCTGTGTATTCATGTGGTTCAACTAAGTTACATCGAACCCCACAAATATTTGCACCCGTATCTCTCAATGTATCAACTATTCTATCCCCCACTCTACATTTGATAGTACATAATTTAGTGGGAGGTTCACTATCAAATACAAGACCTAGTCATCTTCTGTCCCTCGGCGTATCAACCCCATACCGTCGGTCGCCATTTAAGTTATGATTCCCACCACCACCGTTCCTGCATTGTCTGCTCACGTGTCCCGTTCGGCCACACTTGAAACATCTTATCGGTCTCTGGTTAAAAGACGTGCTACTACAAGGGCAATCCTTATGAGAGTACTGATTACAGTGATAGCAGTTACTTCCCCTGGGTAACGAGGAGGATCTATTATCTGATCTATTATATAGGCCCTCATCCCTGTATGAGCTTCTACCTCTCCCCGATTGTGAAGGTTGGGCGGTAAAAATAGTGGGCGTCATTGGTGTTGAGTCATTCGCGACTGGTCTATCAGGGTGAGCAGCCTGATATTTTTGGCAGAGATCTGTTATCGTTGGCAGGTCGCGAGGTTTACGTTCCTGTAGATAACTAAACAAGTCCCTATCAACCGAACAAAGAACCTTGTCCACCAGGAAAAATTCCTGTAGGTTATCGGCAGTTCGTTCTAAACCAGAGGCCTCAAACCACTTGTTGAATGTGACACTAATCTCGTTGATGAATATTTTAAAATCATCCGAGTTACTAGGTTTTAAATTACGGAACTTCTGGCGGTACGCATCTTCCGTGAGGTGATAATATTCTAGCAGAGTCTGTTTTAATATTTTAAACTCCTTCATCTGATGTTCAGTCAGACTCTGGCAGGCATCCAGCCCCCTACCTCCAATTAGCACGAGGAGTTGGGTGCCCCATTGGGATTCAGGGACATTAGTTGACCTAGCAACGGTTTCAAACCGACGAATGAACGAATCGAGATTGTCCCTACCTTCCTCAAATTTCGGGATCTTACCCAATATTCCCAGTCCCGTACTATCACGGTCCCTATTGTCTGTTGCTGTTACCTGATGCCTGGATTCCTCCAGGCGTACTTGTAATCGAAGCTTTTCAAGTTCTAACTCAGCCCTACTCTGTTGATCGGCCAGCCTAAGTTTTTCTAATTCTATTTCCGCTCTAGACTTTTCTGTTAGTCTAAGTCTTTCTAAATCTAGCTCTATCTTCGCCCTTTGTTCAGCGATCGCAATATCTAATTTGGCCTCACTAGTCTTACGCTCATGTTCTGCATTAATCTGATGCTGCGCCCAATCATCCAGAGCTTCGCCTGAATAGCCTAGCCTTTCCCCCAACTCAAAAAGGAGACCCAGATGTTCGGCCGTTCCCATACCGAACCGTGTACCACAATGTATGGGTAATAACAATGGAGGAATAAATTACCAAGAAAGCCAACAGTCGCAGTGATTATCTGCAGGCGGGGTCCTAACGTTATCTTCTAACAATAACGCCCTCTCCCAGGTATGTCCCCCACCTGAAGATAAACAGAACCTACTGGACAATAGAGGAATCGCTTAGAATCCTCCTACCCTAACCGCCCTTATGAAGTAAGCGATGGAGGAAAACTATAAACTATACAAATATTAAATGCTATCTAAGAATGAAGGAAAAGGTACTTATCTTTAAATAATCCTAAGCTTGTATCCCACGATGGTGTCACACGGTGCGCACTCGGTCCACTCTCCACGTCTGTAGTCCTGAACTTGATTGGAGTCAATAGACGATCAGAGACCTGATATGGTCGCTGGATATCGTAACGGTCGAACAGAAGTCCGTCTCTGCCCAAACGATAACGACTCGAGCAGCTAAATCAAGTGTCGAAAGGTCCATTCACGGTCCAAGGTCAGGCGAATCTGGCACGGCTGTAGATCACGGTGCACTGCAATAGATGGCGGGCGAATCTGGTACGGCTGTAGATCACGGTGCACTGTAATAGTTGGTAGGCGAATCTGGCACGGCTGTAGATCACGGTGCACTGCAATAGTTGGCAGGCGAATCTGGCACGGCTGTAGATCACGGTGCACTGCAATAGTTGGCAGGCGAATCTGGCACGGCTGTAGATCACGGTGCACTGCAATAGTTGGCAGGCGAATCTGGCACGGCTGTAGATCACGGTGCACTGCAATAGTTGGCAGGCGAATCTGGTACGGCTGTAGATCACGGTGCACTGCAATATTTGGCAGGCGAATCTAAATGCAGGCGTGTTGCGGCAAACGATAGGCGTAATGTAGGTCACAACGGTCGTTAGGAAGAACCATCGGGTGGATGTACGTTGTTCTACTGCGTTGAGCAACCAGCTGTTCCACCATCTGTTGTGAGTTGAGGACAGGGTCGACAAGAAACCAACACGAAGTCCGTTCACAATTCGTTACTTTTATTGCTTGTAATATCACACAACCTAGGATGCCTATAAGAGAATGGACCCCCTAATAATCCTAACCCCACCTTTTATACCCCGCCTAACATCTAAGTTTTCTGCGCTCTATGTCACTTCCCTCCCAATCGTTCCTATGCTACAAAATGTGTGTGTACTATTTATTTACATTCTTTGATCTGAATATACTAAAATAGACTATAGATTAAAGGTTAATGGAAACATGTAAACAAAAGGGACGCTACTCTAAATCTACGTAAATACTTATATGTAACAATCCTAACATTGACCAAGTCTAAAAATAAAAAAAAATTGCCAGTAGGCCTAATTAGATCTAGCACAAAAAGGCTCGGAATGAGCATTGTTTAAAATACAATACTAAGGCCTAATTAAAAACTACATATAATTTCATATAAATTATACAGTCGGGTAGGCCACGAAGTATTAATATTAACAAGGTTAATGACCGGTCACGAATTATGTTCAATGAAACTAACAGTGCAGTCTGCCTACTTGGCTTGCAGTGAAGAAAAAAATCAATATACTTATAAAATTACTAATACTTTAATACAATAATAATGCCCACAATTTCTGCACATGCTAAAACTGAATTATAATTAAAATACTAGACTTAACAGTGCATTCCGCAAAAAACAAAAATTAGTTGTTTCTATCTGACAACTAGCGTAACAATGGCGTAACGTTGTTAAAAATAGCAGCGGCATGGTATTTCTATGGGGAATTGGATTTTGGAAGAAGGGAAGCAGCATCATTGTAATTAATCATGGTAAATATATATTTATCTAGGAGCTGTCGAGCGCTGATGCCCGGTGGTCGGTCGTTTTTCGTTGCAGTTCAGTTCCTAATGAGAGTGCTCCATAAGAAATGCTTGTATTAATTATTACTACATATCTCGCAAATGTTTCTGGCATTTAAGCCATAGTATCCATTTCCTTAGCATTTCGCATTAAAATAGTGATGAGATGTTGCTAGATTAGCAGTTTTTTCATTTTTTGTATATAGGACCCCCCAAAAACACTTAAAATGCGAAAACTAAAAGAGCATGACGTTTCAGGGTCAGGTTCTGACTTCCGGTTTTGGTAAGGAGATCGACTACTAAAGGGCAGTTTGATTTTTAGCTAGATATAGGACTATCATCTGACCTACTACTGACACTGTACTGTCTTTTTACAAGTACTAGATCTAGATTCCTAGGTGTTGAAATAAACACTTAAGCTAGATCTAGATTTATTTCAACATCAAATTGCTAAAAAAAAAAGAAATCTGACAGTCCTGATATCTATTTTTTTATATTATATATATTTGAAACTTTTAATTAACTACATTCTCAAAATATAAAATTTCTCCAAAATTGATGCTTTAGTTAAAAGTTTAAAAAGTGTAAGGCTACTCAGAAAACAAAATATTAAAAGAAACTTTTTTTTACAGTGCCTACAATAATGATTGGGCCCATTTTAATTTTTAATTATTCTAAACTTTGATGCTATAACTAAATATGTTCAGTATGAAATGTGGGCATAGCAAATCAATTAAATCACTTATTTGAGTTTTATCACCTCATGCAAACAGGTGGGAGTGCAGCCAAATTTTTATGTAATGGGTTACCACAAGCTTCAACTGATTGGGCTAAATGGAGAGTTTTCTTTTGTGATGAGAGGCATGTCCCCTTTGATGACCCAGAGTGCACATTCAGCATCTACAAGGCAAATTTGCTCTCCAAAGTTCCATTGCCTGTTGAGAATATGTATTCCCTTGATCCTAGTATATCAGGTTGGTAATTTTTTTTTTTTTAATTATTAATTTATGTGTGAAGTGCTTGTTGAATAAAAGTAGAGGGTTAGGCTCAAATACAAGTCAAGTTTTGATTCATGCCACAAGATACAATTTTGTTGTGTGGTCACTGGCTGAGATTGTAATTTGACAAAAACTTGTGTCAAAGGCTGTTTTATTCAGCCACATTACTTCTTAGCAGTACTTAATAAATGCATATCAGTACTTTGAAAATCTAGTTAAAGTTAGATTAAGATATAATTAAGAGTTGCTTTGCTGGTTTTTGTACAATGCCTAGTTCTTATTTGATTAAATGGAGGGGTATTAAAACCAAAACTATAAAGTTTTTTAAGGCTAGGTGCCAGTAGGTATTAACCTGTATCTTTAGCGAGGTTTGATTAGCCTGGTCACTAATGATTTACCTGTGTTTTTTTAGTTTCAGGTATCAGTAGCACTATTAATATTATCAGTAATTGATATGAAATATTTTTAAATATTGATTTAATGTAATGAGTGAGCAAATTATATATTATTTAATTTTAATAATTTTTTTTAACTTAATAAATAGATCATTATAAAGTGCAAATGAACCTTTTTTTTTTTGTTTAGTGGAAGAAGCAGCGGATGATTACGTAAACAAACTTCGCTCTGTTTTCTCTGATGAGCCAATCCCAAGGTTTGACCTTTTGATACTGGGCATGGGCCCTGATGGGCACACATGCTCTCTTTTTCCTGGACATCCACTTCTACAGGTTTTTTAATTCTTGAACTAATTATTCCTGTCTTATCAATATCAGGAAATTTTACTTATAATGCCAAACTCATAATGATCTAAACTGACACATTATTATTAATTATTTTATAAGTAAGAATAATCAAAATTATGTTACATACATTTTAAATTGATCCTAAATAATAATGTTTTCTTATTATATTTGTGCAATGTTTAATTGCTTAGTCTTATATCACTGTCATTTATTTTACAACAGGAAACTAAAATAGCAGCGCCCATTAGTGATTCCCCAAAGCCTCCACCAAGACGTGTGACCTTGACATTCCCTACCATCAACAACGCAGCTTGTGCAGTGTTTGCAACATGTGGGTCTAGCAAAGCTGACATAGTCAAGGTAAATTGGTCACTTGTTTTCATCAACTACAAACTACTACCTCTAATCAGTTCTTTACAGAGTATTTGTAGGGAGTCATTGTCATTGCTGCTGACACCTTGTGGAGCGTAGTGATGCAACCACACCTCTCTACCTTATTCAGTTCTGGACAACTTCTCCAAGTTGGGTTATATGCTCTACTTGAGAGTGATCTCCCTTCCCAGGCTGTGGTTTGGTTTGATGTGTTTCCATTTTCTGTAGCAAAGTTGTTTTATGGGGTAGGGTTTCTAGCTCTACAACCAACCCTCTTTCTTTATATACGGTCTTGGGACTGGCGAGATGCCCCAGAATGTTTATCTAGGCTAAGTTATTAGTAGGGAGTACTGAAACCTATTAATTATTTTCTTCTCTGCTGTTGACGCTAATATTAGGTAAAAAAAAAAAACACCCTAAATTCCAATCAGTGTTTCAGTAAGAAGTAAGATATACTTCCTCTGATTTCCTCATACATTTTTCTGTTTTGTTAATGTATTAAATTAGATTAATGGTTTGTTTCATGTTGCTAAGTATGTGACATATTTGTTGACTTCAATTTTTTTTTCTGCAGCAAGTTTTGGAAGATGCAACCAATGATCCACTCCCAGCTGCAAGAGTTAGGCCCAGTAAAGGGGAGGTAATATGGTTCCTGGATAAAGGAGCTGCATCTAAATTAAAGTCTGTGGCTAACTTGTAATAATTTGTATTAAATGTATTTAAAACCCATTAATTGTATTTTCACTGCTTATTTAACAGTGTTTTGTTATTCAAATCTGTTTGTAACTAAATATCAATTTACAAACATGAGAATTAGCATTCTATTTCTAAATTATTATCAGTTACGCCTAAAAAGTTCTTGTTTTTCAAACAAGTGTTTATTCTCATGATAAAGTAATATTATGTTGCAATTAATAACAATTTACTTAGATTGTTAATAATAATAATTAATTTTAAACTTGTCAATGGTTAGAAAAAGTTTTAAAACTTTCTGTTGTATCAAAATGGACAAACCATCAAAAAGTTTAAAATAGGTTGGGTATTTACTCTGTGGCCTCAGAAAGGTAACATTTTAAAATACATTTTTTAGAAATTAAGCTTGAATGCATATGTTACTATTGTTACACCATGCACAACTTTTTTTTAAAGATTTTTAAATTTTATTTTACAGTTCTTTTTTTTTGGGAGGGATGAATAGACATATACATACAAATATAAATGTACTTTAGTTTTAGATTTATTCAGGTTTGAAAGCTGCAGCCACAAGTATACTGTGATGTAGTTGTTTCAGTCAATCAGTTCACAAACTGATCTTGTTCTTTCACACTTTATTACAGCATTTATACACCATTTATAACAGCAACAATACTGTAGTTGATACAATTTTATTTGTTATCAAATTCATGGAATAAATGCTTTGTTTTAGAAGTTTCATGTATAGTTATTGTTTATTTTGTGTTGGTTTGGAAAGTGATGTTTTTTATTTGTGAAATAATGTAATGAAGTAAAGATGGCTGCTTATGTTTTAAATTTAAGCAATGATGTTTTTTTGTAATGTTTATTATGGCATGATACATCAATAAAAAATAAATATTTAAAAAAATAATTTTAGCTCCCCCCTCATCCTAATTTTAACATCCAGTAGTTTGAAAATTGCATCAAATTTTTAAAAAAAAGCTTGATGCATTCATTTCCCCTTGAATAGATCAATGCCTTCCATCTTAGCTTTTGTCAATTTCTTTTTGTATTTTACTAACTCAAGTTCATGTTTTTTTATATTTTCTTCAAAAGTTTTCATCAAATCAAAGTAAGCTTTTTGTTGCCTCTGGTTGGCCAGTTTCTCTCTTAAATCTCCTTCTGTGAAACAAATAAATTAACAAGCTGATACCCCTAATTTATTGTAAACAACATAGTTGAAAACATGTGCTGTGGTTTCATCTACATTACATCAACTTATCAAACAGTGTTAATTAATAAACAAAGAAGTATTTTTAATATTTAAAAAACAAACACAAATATTAATTATGCCAAATATATCTAAATGTGAAAAAAACACAGTGAAAGGTGAATATTCCTGACGAAGTCTTGTTATTTTTAAATTAAAAAAGAAAATTAGTCTGACTTCATTATCTGAGTTTAGCAACACACTGGCTGTGTATCAGGTTTTTACAAGACATTTAAAGCAATTTTATTTTTAAACTGAGGCCAATCTTTCAAGATATAAAAGAAGTTTCATCCCATCCTAAACATATTTTACATTTTATAATCAGCAGTCATTGTAAAATAATTCTCTTAAGGATTCTCAAAGAGTGATCTTGAGCAACTGGTTTTACTATACTCTAAGCCTATAATCTGGATGCTGCCCTTGCTAGATTTACTTGATTCAGTGCATCAGACATTAGCAGCTCAGTAATGCAGTGCACAGCTCGAGTTCAAAAAACGTGTCAAAAATCTTATTTATTAGCACATCGTAAACACCTGAGCTGGTTTCTAAATTTATACATTTATACATAAATGTGTGTATGTATATAAATATACATATGTACATATATATATATGTATATATGTGTTTGTGAGTGTATGTATGTGTGGGTATATATATATATATATATATATATATATATATATATATATATATATATATATATATATATTATTTATTTATATATAGTAAAAACTAAATTAGAAATAATTTACTAAACAATCTGGCTAGTACACATTATATTAAATTAAAGATTACCTTTAGCAGAAAACATTTCTTTATTTTTTTGGCTGAAAGAGTGCTGCTTCTTCTCTCCTACCAAGTCATTTACCTCCATTGATGCCATGCCATCAAATGTTTTCACTAGCTGTTGAATTTGAGCCTTTTTATCTCCACTTTGCTGCCCAGCGCCTGTGATGGGTGAAATCTTTTCAACAAGACTCTGTAGAGCCAGGCTGCTCTGCTGTAGCTGGCGTAGAAGGGTGTAGATTTCTTCTAGGCTTTTTTCTGCCACCGCCACTTTGGGTTGGAATTCTGTGACAAAACGTCTGCTAATGCGATCTTGATCCACTGAGGAGCCATTTTGTTGTAGGTCGATGACCTTTTTGGTGCTGCTGTTGTCAAGAGTGGTGCTGGCAGACTTTGGTTGTTGTTTTTCTGGAATTTTCATATATGTATCACAGATATCTTTGTAAAGTAAATTCTCCAGCTTGTTTTTCGCATCCAATGTGGTGGCTGTTTCTTTGAGATCATTCAATTTTTTACCTTGAGCTAGATCTTTAGTTTTTCTTTGAAAGAAACCTGATACAGTTTTCTTTTTTGTTTCTTTATCTTTGTTTACTAACTGATTGCTGTTTATTGAAGTTTTTGTAATTTTCTTAGCTTGCAGGCTGTTTAAATTTTGTTTCATTGAGTTATTCATGTACTGCTTGTCCCTTACCTTGACCCAATCTTCATAAGTCTCCAGCATATATCTGTCCAATACTTTTTCTCTTTTCTTCCCTTCTGTGGCAGATAAATTACTTCCCCTTTCACTTATGGTGTCTTTCGATACCAATTTCTCACTTGACATAACAGTTTTGTTAGCAGGCATCGTATTTATTGTTGTAGAACTCGCAGAAGTTTTCTTGGCACCAACCTTGTTGTTGGCAGCTGCATCCTTCGCACCACCCATCCAAGACTTTGACAAGATTGGGGAAGTCTTTGTTTTCTTGTCTTGATTTTCAGCATTCTTTCTATTCTTTTCCAGACCAGTCCCCAGTGCATGCTGTGAGGAAACGCTTGTAGCTGAACCATTTGGGGTGATGTCATATTTGGGTGAACTAGGAGCTGGGGTTTTTGAGGCTTTCCCATAATTTTCTTTGAAAGACAAGCTGTTCAGATAGAGGTGTGATTTAATTTCTTGTGATGCCTTGCTTGGACTTGCTAGTGGTGAAACTTGTTTTTTCGACTTGTCAGTATTTGCTTGTGTTGCGCTGACAGTTCGTTTCACGTCATTTGATAGAGCCTGATAATCCGCAAGTCTTTTGCTTAACTCTTTAGTCCATGAATTAAGGTCTGAATTTATTCTGTCCCTGCTTTGTACTCTGGAACTTTCTTTTTTGTGCAGCTCTTCTGGTTTAACATACAACAGTGGCTCTGCTGAATTAGATCTCTTTGATTTCTTGTTTCGTTTGGCGCTGTTGTTGGAGACTTCACTGGTTTTGTTTTGTTTATTTTTGTTGAGTTTTTCAACAATCCTGGTCTGCAACTCTGTGAGAGGGCCAACAGCTGGGATGGTCCTGAAGGCCAGAACTTCCTTGCTCACAGCCTCTTCCATCTGTACTCTCTTCTCTTTCAACATCTCCTGGGCGGATTTCACTGCGCTCTCTTTCTTTTTCAGATCAAGCTCATGTGTGTTTTCTGTTTTCATTTTTTCTCTAATAGATGTGGTACTTTCATTTTGGAGATTTATTTCCTTTTTGTTAGTTACATTTTTATTACTATTTAAAGCACTATCATTGTCATTTTTCACATTATTTTTGAAGTTACTAGGCTTAGCTTTAAGAACATCAACAATAGTGTCACCAGTTAAAGACTTTGTTTTTTTCACAGGAATACCTGGATTATTACTAATAACACTATTCAAGGACGTAGCTTTTTTCACATTCACATTTGGATTGTCATTAGCAAACACAACATTTCTTTTATCTTTTCCATACATCTTTGACATCTGAGTTTTAATGGAATCCACTAATATAAATCCACTTGGTTGTTCTTTGGTTGTTTTCTTACTGATTTTGTCTTGCTGTGCTGTGTCATTTATTAAAATAAAGCCAGTTTCCCGTTTTGACATGGTTGTATTCTTTTTATCTGGCATCTTTGTAAAGCCTTGGCTAGAGTTTGGACTGTTAAAACTGGGTAAACTTGAGCTAGTCTTTTTTATGGTGCCAGATTTTTGAAAGTCATAAATATGTTCGACATATTTTGGTCTTATTTCCATTAGTTCCTCTGTTTCATTATCAACATAATTACCTTTTTTAGCCCAGGGAAATCTTAAAGAATCTTTTTCTAAGTTTTTATTGCGCCTTAGTTTCATGATTTCAGCATTTACTTCCCCAATGTCGTTTCTGGTCTGCACATTGGGTGTTGAGAACGTTAACATTCTGTGTAGGGATTCACTTTTAAAAGTTGCTGAAGGGCTGTCTGATTTGACAACAGTTGGCGATTCTTTCTTAGTCGCGGATTTACTTCGGCAGGAAGCCTTATTCTGACACCCAGTCTTGCAAGCTTTATCCTCATTCTTGGAAATATTTTTAAGCGCAGCATCAAACTTTATCCAGTTTTCTAATTTTTCTGTGGCACTTGCGAAATTTTTCGGTGACTTGCGTGATTTAGCCCCCTCTCTCTCTTTTGAAGATTTCCCCAACATGTCTTGGGCTAAAACACTGGGTACTGGTTTCACATTTGATACAGATTTGCTGATGTTAGGTTTACTGTAAACCATTTCTTCCATGTAGACACTTGTAGCTGAAGTCGCCCGTGGAACATTTTGTGTTTCCGGTGTTTTGGAAGCATTTTTAAAGCCCAAACTGGAGGTTGTCCTTGCATTATCTAATCGCCCTTTATTACTTCTGAGCTTTGGGGATGGGTACAGGTGTGTTGCGCTGCGTTTAGATAGTGGTTGGTCATTTCTGGACCTCGTCTAAAAATGTATGTACACAAAAAATAAATAATTAAAGTCCTACACATTTTAATGCAAATACAATGCATGCTTTACTTTGGCCACTGATGACACAAACCACTAAGACAAATCTATGAGGGGACCACAGCAAGCAAATAATTATCTTCTCTTAAATCTGTCCTCAGGGATGGTTAGGCCCCGACAGTCTGTGGCGTCACCAGGTCGGGTTTCATCTGGTGCGGTAAATAAGGATGTCACCCCACCCCCTCCAACAATTTAGCATTTGTGGTTTGGTGTCACCCCTACTATTTTAGTTATTTTAACTGGATAAAATATTGTTTTGACATTGAATTTTACGAATTCGAGTCGTGGTGTCACCCCCTAAATGGTGTCACCGCACCCCCGCCCTGCGACGCTTCTTTCATGACCCTGTGCAGTGTGTGGAAGGGAAATGAAATGTGAACATCTTATCCTTCTCATATTTGAAAAGAATCTCTTGATTTATAGTCAAGCTTTGTGAAGTTATTTTAGGGGGCCTTTAGTGGCTTTAGTGATCGCTTAAAAAAAGCGAAAGATCGGCTAAAACTGTACATTTAACGTCGACCCTTGACCTTAGCGGTTTTGTGGATTGCAACCATACATACATTTGCTAACAACTGAAACGATTGTTACTCATTAAGGAAACGTGTTGATTATACACGTCGTCACGTGTAATTCTAATTTTGGTTACCCTAACTTTCATACACGCCACGCTAAACGTACCTTTTGCTTGGCGCCCACTTCAGCAGACGACGATTTCTCTGATCCATTCCCGTCGTCTCTAAATGACGAACTCTTCAGCGTTCGCGTGGAAACTGCTGTAGGCTGGTGTCTCGAGCGGGCGTGCGCACCCATTCTGGCGCATGTCTTGATCGTTGTGGGTGAGGATAGAATGGGAAAAAAGCATTTGATGAGCACAAGGATTGTGTTTTTTTAACTTGACAGTATTCGACTTCCACGCACGTATTAAGTATAAGTGTAAAGCTGCAAGTAGTGGGTTTTTTTCGGACCCTACCAGTGGCGTAGGCAAGGGGAGGTTAGGGGGGGGGGGGTTATAACCCCTCCCATGGACCTATATATATATATATATATATATATATATATATATATATATATATATATATATATATATATATACATATATATATATATATATATATATATATATATATATATATATATATATATATATATATATGATTGTATACATTTGGAAAAATGTTTGAACCCCTCCCATGACCAATTCCTGGCTACGCCACTGTTTCAGACATTTTTCTCTGGGGTAAGGGGACACTGGTTAAAGTAGGCCTATATATTTTATATTATAACTCTACATCTGCTCAATGGGTCGCTAGGTCTAAGTCTAAGGATGATTTTTTAAATTATATATTTTAAATTATACATTATTGGTGATATGAAGGTTTTAAAACCCCACCTAAACTTGCTGATGATAAGAATAAGATTTTAAAAATATTTTTTTTAAACCATTTTAATTAGGTTATGTAAAGATTTTTAAAAAAACCCACCTTAATTTAGTGATGCATAGATTTAAAAACCCACCTTACTTTGCTATGTTAAAATTTAAAAAAAACCCATCTTAATTTGCTGATGTAAAGATTTTAAAACACACATTAAAATAATGTGATATAAATATAATGTAATATAAATAATACAACAATAAAACCCGCCTTAATTAGGTGATGTAAAGATATAAAAAACCACCTTAGTTTAGTGGTGTAAAGATTAAAAACCCACCTTAATTAAGTGATGTAAAGATTAACAAAACCACCATAATTAAGTGATTATGTAAAGATTGTTTTAAAAACCCACTTTAATCAAGTGATATAAAAAACCCACCTATAGTTGGTGATGTAAAAAAAAAACACCTTAATTTGGTGATGAAAAAAAAACTTAATTTGGCAATGTAAAAAAACCCACCTTAATTTGGCGATGTAAAAAAACCCACCTTAATTTGGTGATGTAAAGATTTAAAAAAACCCACCTTAATTTGGTGATGTAAAAAACCCACCTTAATTGGTGATGTAAAAAACCCACCTTAATTGGTGATGTAAAAAACCCACCTTAATTTGGTGATGTAAAAAACCCACCTTAATTGGTGATGTAAAAAACCCACCTTAATTTGGTGAGAGATTGTTGTCGCAGCGCAGCGTGCGATCTCGAACAGAATTAATGCCATGGTTCAGCGGCTGTAGCGGTCAGTCAACTTCTGGTGATGAGGGGGGAGCAACCACAGCAACTGGTGTACGGAGTTTTAGTGTTAGAAAAACTTGGTAAAAATGTTGTGATCGCGTAGGGGGGGGGTGAGTAAATATCAATGTCCGTTATTGAGGACACGGATCCTGAGTAGGTCTAAAAATAAAATGGAGGTAAGGGGGATCGGACTTTGTGACGGGGGAGGAGAGGGTTAAGAACTAGACTAATACAACGTGGCATTAAAAAAAATTTGACGAATTTGTTAGATTTTTTTTTGAGGGATGGGGAGTAGAAGAAGTTTGAAATCTCATATTATAACCAAATAATCATAACTCTAAAGGAAAGGTTACTTTTGCGTTGAAAAGTCTTTTTAACACGTTTTTATTAACTCAGCTTCGCGTGGATGTGTTTGTTGTTAAAATTGACATCGAAAATTAGCCCACTTCTGATTGCTCTATAGATCTGAAATTTGGCATGCAGGTTACTTTCGCCTAACAATTTCAGATGCAATCATAAAAACTAGCAATTAGAGACCGTAATTAGCTTAATTTAATTACGCCCAAAGGACCATAAAATTGAGGACATGATTTCTAAAGATACCGACAAGACTGGAGGCTTGTTGACACAGTTACTTCGGCCCCAATCGATGTGAGCGCGCTGGCCGTGTTCGTATAGTGGTTAGTACTTCGCGTTGTGGCCGCGACAACCCAGGTTCGAATCCTGGTCGCTCAAGATTTTTTTAGTCCGTGTATTTATAAACACTTAGTCAATTCATACTTAATCAAGTCATTAGATAAAGTAGAAAATAAACTATATAAAAAACTTTTTTAAAAACCACGTTTTTCATGTGTAGCAACGGACTAAAAAGGAGAAAATAAAATACTTAAAAAAAACTTTTTAAAAAACCACGTTTTTCTTGTGGACTAAAAAGTAGAAAATAACTATTTACATACATTTGATGACAAAAAACGTGGGTCGGGCAGATGGGTCGGGAAATTTGATGGTGAACGTACCCACGTTTTTTGTCATCAAATGTATGTAAATAGTTATTTTCTACTTTTTAGTCCACAAGAAAAACGTGGTTTTTTAAAAAGTTTTTTTTAAGTATTTTATTAAGAATTACTTTATAGACTTCAAACGATACGATCATAGGCCTACTTAATCTGAGTGATAAATTGATTGATTGTTTGATTGATTGGGGGTCGTCCATAAATGACGTCACACTCGTAGGGGGAGGGGGGTCCGTAATTTTGTGACGGCGAGTGGGGTTCAGATGGTGTGACGTCACACTTTTGCATTATAAAAAAGCAATGTTAAAAAACGAATTTTAGCCGTTGTTTATGTTGACAGAGTTCAGGGAAGATTTTGGAAAACTGCAATTTTGAGGGGGGGGGGGGGCGCATGATTTTAGGGGGAGGCTTTTTGTGACTGAGGGGGGGGGTCGTCAAAAAAGCGTTATGTCATTTATGGATGACCCCTAACTGAAAAGGAAAAGTTATTTTTGCGTTGAAAAAAGTCTCTTTAAGAGTTATTTCATAGACTTCAAATGCTACATAGATGACTGATGTTACACGATAATGACTTCAAATGAGTGATAGATAGATTGCTTGATAGATTGATTGTAAGACAGGCTTTCATTTGGCATTCACAGAGTGAAGAGGCTGACCAAGATAAAAAAAACTGTGACGTGGTTAAGAGACATAAGAAAGATGGGATAGCATTGGAAAAACTTGTCCGTCTTGCCTAACAAACGTTTGTGTGCTGCTAATGCCTGTGGTCAGCGGTGCGAGGAGGAGTGCATGCAATTAACCTAAAATTAAACTCGGCGTCAACTTACTTCAGAAACCAATCAGGTTTGGTTGTCTCGTGACCAGGTCAAAGGTCACCATGGTTTGACATTTGAAGAGATCCTAAAATAGAAATTGTTATACATATATTTTTATACAGAGCTGCAAGGTCACAACGGCGGGAAAAAAAGCGGGGGGGGGGGGGGGGCGAAGTTTTTTACTTTACATAAAAACCGGTCAATGTTTATGTTTTAGCAGCACCTCCACCTTGAGCATTGAAGGGGAAGGGTTCGACAATCATTAGAGATTTTAGTCGATACACTGTCCAGTACTAATCCGATTTTCTTTCAGGCACTCTCCTCCCCCCCCCTCCCTTCCCTCTCCAGACGAAATAGGAAAAAATTAATGCATAGAAAATATATAGTGTCCCCCTTCTTCCAAAATTTCAACCCCTGAGAAAAATATTTCAAAGAAACTCTGCCACACCGAAGTTACATGACAATGACTTCCCGCAAGTCTATGTTTTGAATATTGTCTCAAGGTTTTTAGTTAGCGACCAATTTCATTTCGAATATTTAACATTTTTTAGTATCCCCCACCTACTCATCCGCCCCACCCATTACCACGTTGTCGGTAAAACAAAGTTTACTTTGGACATTTTTAAAAAAAAAATTCTTGCTAGAAAATGGATTTTATACCAAGGCCGATAATCCTGCAAGTCTACGGCAACGCCGCTGGGTCTATCTATAGACTATACACGGTAGATAACTACTGACCATGAAGATTTAATCGTGCGCGAAAAGTTATTATAATATGCAATAATATTTTTTTTTTCACTGTTTCTTTCAGAATTTTTTTTTCTCCGGGAGAAGGGGACCAGTGAAGTTTCGGGTGGCGCGGGGTGGGACATTGTTGACTGGTAGAAGAATATATTTTCTATATAAATTCTATTTTGTCCAGAGAAATAGGGCGGGGCGGTAAACGTGCTCCAATGAGGGGGTCGATGCCGCCTCCCCTCCCCCCCCCCCCCTGAAGAGATGCCTGAAAGAAACGGGTCTCTTTAATCACACATGTACGCCATACAAATATAGGATATAACATCTTGTTATATATCCCCATAGTTTAGCATTTAATATAGACCCCGCCCTGCCTATGGTGGAGAGACTGCTTTAATGGTGGTGGGGGCGATTCTGTCGGGGGGGGGGGGGGGGGGGGGGGTTGCAGCGGTCTCAAGCTCGGGGTCCGAACCCGTAACTATTGGGTCAGAAAGCGCAGCATCGCTAGCTACCAGACCACAATAATAGACCTACATATCTGATAATTCTTTATTAAGTAACTAGAATCTAGATCTATCAAAATGTAAATTAAACCTTGCATTAAATTTTGAGTAAATAAACCTAGATTCTAGATCTGCGTATTTTCATCTTTATTTAAAAGTAAATTAAAAGGTTCTGTTCTACAGTTAGATAAAGTCTAATAAATCTAGTCTAGAGTCTAGATACGATTATAAAAGGAGGAAACACATTATCTCCTTAATAGGCCTTTACGTTGATTCTAAAATAATGGCTGTTTGAATGATTTACTTAGTTCTTAGGTGGAAAATAAACTTGTCTCTGTCCTTCTTGAGATGAGTTCGCATGAATGACGTGTTTCCTTGACACCTGATTTTGTGCACATCTTTCTTAGTGCGCAGTTTGGTGTGCATATATTTTTATAGGCTAAATTACTTATTTTTTCGCGAAGGGTTGTCAAAATAATATCATGGACAAAACAACTGCATTGAAAATACAAATTTAAAGATTAATAATCTTTGTATCGACAAAGGTAGCGACAAGGATTAATCTGTATCGAAATCAGTGTATCTTTTAGACTATTTTCTCCGGGGGCCACTTGAAGTTGAAAATTTTGGAGTGGGAAGGGGGGGGGGGGTGAGATAGGGGCGGACTAAATTTTACGGGGGGTGGGGGGGGGGGCGGACACTGGTAAAAGTATATATTTTCTATATAATATTCTATTTTGTTCGGGGTTAGAGGGAATGCGGCTGTAAACGTATGTCGGGGGTGAGGGGGGGGGGGGGCCAACCCCCGAAGAGATGCCTGAAAGAAACTCTGATCGTAATTCTGTTTAATACAGTATATCACTAATGCATCTGTCGTGTAACAATATATAGGTTACTGTCTGCGTGTACTTGATGGCGTCACTGAACGGCTCTGTGCGGAGTCAGGGACGAACCGTGACAAAGATGGATCGGCGGCTCTTTTGCTCATTCAGGAATTATGCACCGCCGTTGATGAAACAGTTTATCCTCCGCCTAGCACTAACGTTTGCTATTTTAATAGAAATTAACCCAGTGTTTACTTCTTTAATCGAGATCATGGACGTCCAGTGGCTCGCCATTACACCAGGTTTCACAGCCAGAGATAGGTTGAACATTTCCCAGCAATTCCCCACACCAAGTATGTTGTGACTCACGAGATTTTCACGTGGTTGTTTCCCCTTTGTGAATGCGGAAATGTTTCGGCCACGGCAAGAATTTCCTTCCAGTGTGTTAGTTCAAATCATCCTGCCCAAAGCTTGTGGGTACTAATGGCGAGAGTTCTACAGACTTTACCACTGTTTCCTGTTGTAAAGTGGTTTACTAGTGGGTTTTTCTTTTTATTTAACCGGCAATATCATGGTTCTAATCCCTGCTGAACAGAGTTTCTTCCAGGCATCTCTTTGGGGGGGGGGGGGGGGAATTCTACCGACCCCCCACCCCCTATAATTTATATAGAAAATATATACTTTTAACAGTGTCCGCCCCCCCCCCCCCCCGAAAATTTCAAGTGCGTCCCCCCCCCCCCCCGGAGAAATAAGCCTGGAAGAAACACTGCTGCTGAACTGGACCGGACACGGGGAGTTCACTTCATCTTGATCTATATCGTGAGGACCAGATGCCAATAATGCCATCCATCTAGACCAGGGGTCGGCAACCTTTTGAAGCGGAAGAGCCAAAAGTTACAATTTTAAAAATTTCCCTGGTTTTTAAGAGCCACTAACATTTTTTTCATTTCAAATATTTTACTTTTTTATTAAGATTATTAGTATTTGTGCAAGGAGCTGGAGAGCCGCATCTTGATATCAAAAGAGCCGCATGCGGCTCGCGAGCCGCAGGTTGCCGACCCCTGATCTAGACGCCAAGCAGTGCACTTGGTTAATAGTGCCGATACGTGTTCATGTGTACAAGGAGCAAGTCAAGGGACGCCATCGTCAGCAAGAGAGAAGGGGAACTTTCCATCCTCTCTTTACCATCCCTGACACTGCATGTACCAGGTTATAAGATACAGAGATCATTGGTTGCCCACAGTGTTTCTTCCAGACTTTTTTCTCCGGGGGGGGGGGGGGCACTTGAAATTTTCGGGGGGGGGGAGGCGCAAACTTTTTTCGGGGGGGGGGGGGGCGGACACTGTTAAAAGTATATAATTTCTATATAAATTATATGAATTTCATTTTGTTCGGGGGGGCGGTAAAAATTCTTCGGGGGGGCTTTGCCCCCCCCCCGAAGAGATGCCTGGAAGAAACTCTGGTTGCCCATGCTTTATGATACCTCTCTCAGCCAGTTAAGTCCAAAGCAATCATGCTGAGAATTACGTTTGGTAATCCTATTGCTCAAGGGGATCCACTCCTTTTTAATTTTGAAGATTTCTAGATCAAGTGCTGTCCCCTGCATGACTAAATGACAAAAACTACAATCTAGAAATTACTGCCATTAAGTTCATATGAGCAGACCATCAAAGTTTTCCAGATAAAATAAGACACCAAACAGTTTCCTACAAAAATATGAACAACATACTGACATCAGATATGAATCTACTCTGGCTGGCCTTGTTTACATACAACCAAACCAACCATACAATGATTACAAAGAAAGTATTGCACACCAATTTGCATTATGAAATCCTTTATTGGACATGTACATAAGAACAAAAATAAAATAAGTGTGTAGTTAAAATAACATGTGTAAACCAAATACTGAGTATAAACTAGTCAAAGTAAAGAAAAACAAAGTAACTTAATTAAAATAATCAATTTGTCATTTTCTCATCTAAAGCCATATCATAGAAACAAGAGCAAGTATTTTAAAAAGGTCAATTTCTAAGAAATTTGTTTATACAGTTTTTAATTTTTAAAGATATACTAATGACTAAAATACGATATTCTGGTAATGAAAAGCATTTAACATCTTATTTACCCTCGAAAGTACCAACTATTTTACTAATGAAAACCAAAACACAAGTGCATATAAATGTCACCAAAAGTGACGGTGCAACTTTCATTGTTGTGTTAAAAATGTCAATTTCTAAACTGTAATGAGAGCGAGTCAGGTTTCTTGTTAAAACAATGGTTCAACACATCATTTTCAAGTAAAAAATTCATAAATAAGTAGGCCCTATTTATTTGAAAGTAAAACAATGCTCTTATTAATTACCTACCACTAAAATAAATTATAATATAAACAAAAAATTCTATTATATGCACTGCCATTGGATTTATTTGAGAATTATTTCAATAACAATTAAAAAGAAACATTTAATTTGATGAGATCACAAATAAAAAGGTCATGGGTAAGGTTTAAAAAAATATATCACAATAAGCTGAAAAAGCAATAACAAGGTATTATATAACATAAGATATTTTTATAAAGAAAAGTGTACTATTTTACCCAAAGAAAAATAAAATACCCATTAAAAAGGATAATGAAAAAACCCAAATGGCTAGTAAAAATATAAATTACAAGTGATACAAACTTTTTTTTTAAACACAAATTTAAACATCAATATTATTTAAAAAAGCTTAATTAATTAAAAATTAAGTTTTCCCACTTTAATTAGTACCAAATTTCATTATCAGTATGAATCAATTACACAGACATTTATGCAATACATCTGTTCCTTTGAAATGTAGTAATTGCCTGTTGCAAATATGCTTTTTAGTCAAATTGAACTGTCAATAAAACAATGTATAGACCATTGTTCAAGTATTTAAATTACAATTCATACTCAGCAAATAGGTCAAATACAATATAAAGTGTACAACAGGCACCATTCGTCTATTATTATCTGATCAGTTATAATGCAGAATTCACAGAACAAAATTACTTAAAGTTTACATTATTGAAATAATTCACAAAACTTTGTAAAACAATCAAAAATGTGTCTTGGTCTTATTAAGTAGACATCTTTTCTATATATAGGAAAAGTAGTTAAAGCAATTAAAGCATTCAAAAATGATGAAAAAGAGTTAATTGATGATGAAAAAGAATGAATTGATGAATATTTATGGAAACATAAAGATACATTTAAAACATACACTTTGAAACAGATATATTTGACTTATTTTTAAACTGAATTATATAAAGCTTTAAATGGCCTAACTGAACTGTATTAAGGCTTCAAATATTTAATCAAATAATTATTCATATAATCTTATTTATTAATGTCAATAAATCAGAATATACAGTTATAAGCAATTCAACACTTGTCAGCAACATGTCATTATTTGTCAAGATGTAGTTGTGAGAGCTGTGTAAGCCTTGTTGACGGCAGCCATTAAAGTGACTTTGTTTTCAACTAAACTTATTAGGGTTTCCACATCCATTTCCAGGATCATTCCTGTGGAATACATTATTAGTTGTTAAGAACGTTGTTTAAAAAATCAACTTCATGTATTTTAAAACACTAGTACAATATATTATAAAATTTAAAACGTATCTAAGCATTATGTTAAAGTTTTTCTCTTAAATATAAAACATTTGATCTGTAACAAACATAATTTGAGTATGCTTTAATATTAATCCCCCATTTAGATTTTAAAACTATTGAAATTAATTTATCAGTTTCCTATTTTTTAATCCTAAATAATTACTATTTTATATTTTAAAAATAATAACATTTATATATTGAAAAATCACTCTTGTTATTTTAAAATACCTGTATTTTTGGCAGCCACATCTTTATTGAGGTAGATATTAAAAACTATTTCATATATTTGATTCCCTAAAAAGTCTTTCATGTCTGTATCATTTCCGTTGTCTTTCATACTTTCCTTGAAATCTGTAATTTTTCTGTCATTTTCACCACCAATGGTAGGTGATGTGACAGTAGAGTCTATAGCTAATTTTGACTTGTAAACTGCCAGCTGAAAACTATCTTCATTCTGCAGCAGCTCCATAAGAGATGAGGCATCTAGTTCTAAAAGCATTCCTGGTGATTGTAAAAAAAAAAAACATCAAATATTATTATCTCCTCATGTTAGAGATCCGGCTTAATTTTAAATAAAATTCTAACAACACTGTCTTCAATGTGACAGAGGTTTATATCACATTATTTTAAAAAAGAATTAAAGGTAACAAGTTACATTTGAGTAATAAATTAAACCAGACTAAATGTAAGATTAAGTGTAAAGCGATACCTGTAATCTGAGGAGCTAACCCTTCATCATACATTTGAACTCTAGCAAAAATAATCTCACCCAGTTGTTCTGTAGTCAGCTGAGTCCTAAAATAAAAGATAATTCAAATTATTTCTCCTAATATTACTATAGGTTGTGCTATTTACCAACCGTGTTAAATAATTTTCTTGTTTAAAATAAATAATATCCTAATATTCTTTTATTTATGCTGCAAAATTATCTTAAGTTTCTAAAACTATTCTGTGTGAAAAGTATCTTTTATTATGCATAAATGATTACATGTTGATGCAATATTGTTGAACTAAAGGGAACTTATTTTAAAAAATATGAAATAATAATTTTTAATTCATTTTCAATTATTTATCTACCTTTTTTCTGTATGATCTAATAAAGACTGTTCAGCAGAAGTGAAATGTTCCTGGCTTAGAAATCTAAGGGTGCGTATAATATTTGCCTCCAAAAAATGTCTGTCCTTCAACATTTTATGAATATCCATGTCTGATCTTTCAAGTAACATGCCTGTGATTTTATCAACAGGGTGGAAAGTCTGATCACTTGTGACCTAGGAATATTGAATAAAACTATATTGGGTAACAACATTTAAATCAATAAGAAATATTTTAAATACAAGATTAGTAAATAAAAAATGGACTCCATTCCATGTATACCTTGTCAAAATCTAGGTTAAAAAAACATTTCTGCAGCATTTCACAAACTTTGTGATGTAAATGTATGCCAAGGACATTTTTAGTAGATGGAGGACTTGTTTGTTTATCATTAACATCTGCTTGCATCTGGAAGGTGAAATACAAGTGTTTAATAAATCACTTAATAATGTGAATATTGTTTCCAGGCTATAGGTTAAAATAAATTATAATATGCAAGCATCATGACTTTTGTGTTTTTTAAGTTTAAAAATTTGAAAGCTTTCTTCTAAGTTAATAGACAGGCAACTCATTTTAAAATTTCTTAGTGTAATTATACCTTCCAATACAAGGAAACAAATAACATTCTTAACAGTTTAGCTATAGGCCTACTGAAAATGGTTATTTATGTGAATATTGGGTTAACCATATGCCAGTTTAGTCATGTGACTTAATGTTTTGCACAGGTTATGGCTTATTCACCACTAGATATCTATGGCTCTAATGATTTCTCTAGGGGTTTAGCAGTTTGGTGTAACATACCTTCAGTAGACCTACTTGTTAAAGTATTAACAGCAATGTGGTGTAACATACCTTCAGTAGGTCTACTTGTTAAAGTATTAACAGCAATGTGGTGTAACATACCTTCAGTAGACCTACTTGTTAAAGTATTAACAGCAGTGTGGCGTAACATACCTTCAGTAGACCTACTTGTTAAAGTATTAACAGCAATGTGGTGTAACATACCTTCAGTAGGTCTACTTGTTAAAGTATTAACAGCAGTGTGGCGTAACATACCTTCAGTAGGCCTACTTGTTAAAGTATTAACAGCAATGTGGTGTAACATACCTTCAGTAGGTCTACTTGTTAAAGTATTAAAAGCAATGTGGTGTAACATACCTTCAGTAGGTCTACTTGTTAAAGTATTAACAAAGATTTGTTGGGGACTTGCTTGTGCTGCATGTGCATCATGCTCCAAGTGGGCCTGTCAGGACCACAAAATAAAACAGAATTTCACATGGGTAGATTTACAGCATATTATGAAAGGAGATGGCCAATTCTGGCAGTATAATTTATGTCATATGACTTAGCTTACTCTGGAGAATTTATCCTATTTCCTATCTACGCAGGTAGATCTATTATCTTTTATAATTAAAAAAATAAGGCTTAGGCTTAGAAATAAAACAAAACAGATAATCTAATCAAATTTACTTATTAATGAAATAAGTCAAAGATCCACAAGTTATTTAACTAGGCCTAATTGAATATAATTAAACAGTGATTCAGCAGCATAAAGATGCAATAAGTAGAGAATCTATATCTCGGCCTATTGTTTAACTATATATTTTACTTAACAATCACATAGTCACTAGTTCTACTCTATAGGCCTATTTAGTATTTATTACTATATCTATTGTACTAATAGTAATAGTAGTGAACACTACAGTACTAGTAGTGATTAAACTTTTCATTTTCTTTATTTAGCATACATTTTATTTTCCTCAACAAAAGTTAATCAGTATTCTTCTTATAATTAACTATTTGAACCCGCGGGACCGCTTTATCAGTCCAAGTCTTAAATCTACATACTACATCATACCGAGATAGACACCTTATCCCAAATCGGCAGTCGGTACATAAAATTGCAATATTAAAAAAGTACGTAACTGGTATTGTTCCTGTCATGGAAAAACTATTCTAAAATTCCAAAACCCAAACTATGCCTGTCTACATCTATCTAGTAAGACTAGTATCTATGTCTAAAAGAAGGGTCTACCTACACGGGAGACCGGATTACTAATTTGATAATTCATGTACATTGTACATGAGTAGGACTAAGGCTACACATATTTGAAATAACAAAATTAATCTTACTGTAACTGTTTGTTATAATAAATTTATATTCATAGTTTTTATTTTTTTAAATTTTGATTAGATCTAGAATTAGAATATTCTAGTTAGTTGAGTTAACAACGACGTCCTAGTCAAGCTAGCTCGCCAGATTTTTAATTGAATAAAAAATTAAAGGTAAAATCGGGTTTAGGGCAGGGGGGGGCTTCTAACTTCTAACTATATTAAGTATATTTTACTAGATCTAGACTAGATTCTATAGCTAAAGGCTAAATCTAAGTCAGTGTTTGTTTACTGATGTTGGTTAGGCCTATGGCATCCTATGGCCTATACAAAATTTATCTAGAATCTAGATCTATGAGAATAGCCTCCCTTGAAAAAAAAAGTTCGTTGGATAAGGCCTAACCCGTTTTTATTTTAAAAAAACTTTTCATTACATATAACGTATATTAGCTGCAGGATAAAGTACAAAAATAAGCACAATTGTAATATAAAATACTAAAAGACTTATCTTTTAAAAGTATCAATAAATATTATAACTAAAATATTAGGTCTACTTTTTAAAATGAGGATTAATTTTGTCAAAAACCGGAAGCGGTCTTTTACCTTGTGTGTCCAGCAAGAAAGGTAGTGTTTTACAACCCGAGAAAACAATTTCTATTCTTATATATGTACACAATATTTGTAAATATCAGTCAGTTAGTTCGAAAGCTTTATTAGTCTTTACATCAATTAAAAATGTTTACAGCTGTTATTGCATCAGTTAACTTAATATTCTTTAGTTTGGAAGGTTTTTGCACGTGTCTACCATTTATCGATAACAGCCGACATTGGGGCTTTTTCCATTACAATGTTTCGTACTTAAGAAGCATTGCTTGTATTGTTAAAAAAAACGTGTTAGGCCTACAGTTAAAGATTTAGAAAATCAATATTATTTATTTCGACTTTTGTCGTATCAGAACATCCATTTAATTAACAGTACTGTAGTGAGATTGTTTCCAAATCAACCAACCAATTTTTTTTTGTACTTCACACTTGGTAGGCATTTTGATAAGATTTTGGGGGGAATTTTTATACCAGCCCGATAATAGAATCTTCTTTAAATAGGGGTGTTAGTTTGCTGTAATGTAAAGTTCCTTTTTAAACCTGACAGTCTGTAGGGCAAGTGAAGTAGAGTTCACTTGTTTCTTTGACCTCAGCATATGAAGAGATAGTGTGATCAGCACTATGCCCAGCTGCCTTTACTTTCTCTAACGTGAGTTAAGTACCCAACAGAGTTGGGTGGACTCTGGGACTGTCTACTGACTTGAACCCTGATTCGAACTCGAGACTTACTGGTTAGCAGTCCAGCTCTCTACCGCCAGACCACTTTGTCCATAGATTGCTGGTAGTTAACTAAATACTAAATACACATATGGCTGGCTATTGTTAATGCTAACCCTAGACTCTGGACCTACCATACGCCTAACCATAAAATATGTCGAGATTATAATACTACTAACAACCCAACACACCTATTTGATGGAAGAGTCTATTATCGGACATATGTATCTAACATTATCCGGATTTTGTTTATTTATTTCTATACAAATATCAATAATCCACTTAATAACAGTGAACTAATTTACAAAGTCAATTATCTTAATGTCAGAAGATTTTGTGGGTAAAAAGAAACAAAGTGACTGCTTGGAAGATTTTTCTCCCTCTACTTAGTCGGCAAAAGATAGCTCTGCGCATGTGCAGTGACCTATGGCTAGGATTAGGGTTGGTGTTAGGGTTCTGCGGTTGTAAACACTCACATGTGCAGTACCATTGAAAACATCGTCGCGATGGCAAGTCGTAGTTTCTCTCCATTGCGCATGCGTATCTTTTTCCCGCTAGCATAGGCCAAAAAGAAATCTGTATCTTTTGTGGGGCTACCTTCATTCATGGGCTTCATCACTATTGTAAAACAAAAAAATCTAGAATCTATTTAGCGTGTCAGAAAACTAAATCTACAATTTGAAGCCTTCATAATAAATAACAATATACCTACATCTTTGATAATTTGTCCCAAGTTGGTGCATGTTATTCAGCAATTGAAGCATTATATCAAACAAGACATGTCTGCCACTGCAACCCCTCTCTCTGCTGATTGTATAAATCTTGTTTTAGGCTGTATCATAACTCATAACTACAAGTTCCCAATGACGTGATATAATTGTTTTTAAAATTGGGGTTACACCACAGTCAATGCCACAACATGTGAATTTTTAAACAAAATGTTTCAGCCTACATAATCATCATGACAGTACTAACCCAAGTTTTAATGTAGCCCTACCACCATAACACTAAGACTGCAATAAAAGAATTTTTTTTATGATTTTCTAAGAAGAAATATGCAATGTAGGCCTATGTTCTTTATAAGTATATAGGCCTAATAGTCAAGATGCATTAAAACTCTAATGGCCATTCATAATTTCTTTACTTGTTATGGCAGGAAAAAAATGGCCTCTGCTGATGTTGCTTGGTTGATCCTTAGGAACAACTCTTCTACTTTGTTGAAGAGGAGTAGACAGAATATGAGTCTTGTAAGTTTTTTTTTTACTGATTTTTCTTGGGCTATCTGCTTAATTATTTAATTTGGTTCATAATGGCTATTATCATGTTTGGACACTACAAATTTTAAAACTGCAGTTTTACTAGCTTGCTGTTGTCATTTATCAGATTGTTACACAGGCTGATATAGGATAAGACATGCAATCTAAATGTCATTTTTTGTTTTTAATTTCTATAATTTTATTCTTAAAGGAATCTAACAACCTTAAGAGCCGCAACTCTTTCCGTTACAATGGTCTCATTCATCGCAAGACAGTTGGGGTTGAACCCACAAAAGATGGCAAAGGAGTTGTGTTGGTTACTCGCAGAAATAAAGGTATTGAAATTATCACTATCTGTTTCCCCATTCCCTCGCCCTCTCATTGTTAGCAGTTGTGTTGAAAAATGTTCATACTTAGTATACTTTTTTCTATTGAGATGCGTTTGTTCTCATATTTTGTACTTTTCTTTTTTAGACCAGAACAAGCCCAGCAAAAGTCTTACTAGAGTTGAGCTAAAAAAGGGCCCAAGACGTACAATCGCATCCATTCGTGCCATCTTGCGAGCCAACAACTATAGAAAGGATTTGATTAACCCAGCTGTTAGGAGAACCTGTGCTATTCTGAAAAGTCAGAAGCCTGTTGTAATTAAAAGCAGGGCTCGTACCGCAAAAAAAGAGTAACTCTATGTGACATTAAATATCTAAACCCTACTTTGCTTTTTGTTTATCTTTTAAAGAGTAAGAGACATGTTTTTGTAGTTACATGTTTATTTTCCTTTATTTAAACAATCAGATCACAAAGCAAGGCAGATTAGCTTGTTAAAGATACAATTACACTTTAGATACATTATTGAATAAAAAATGTACAATTTTGTGTTCATACGTGGCAAGAACATACAGAAGCAAGTGCCTAACAAGCATTTGAAGTGCGATATTTGAAAGAATACTTCTGGTCAAACTTGTTCTAAAATCAAATGCCCTAGCATCGTTTGTCTGGGTTTGATAGTAAAGTAGCTCATCACAATTCAGTAAATATCTTTTTAAAATGCTTCCAGTGTCCAGCATTCCTGCTTTTTATCACATGTATTTGTACTGATTCTGGCCACAACTGTTATGCATCAATGGACATATATCTAGCCTCTTTGCTTTGCTAGGCTTTAAATTTTGAAAGCAATTGGTTGATTGAAAAATGAGTTTGTTGTGCAGACAGTTGAGACAGTAGATTCTTGCTTTACAATATATACATTGCTTGAAAATAAAAACTGGAGCAAGAAACAAAACATCACCCCAGGTGGATACAACTTTTTCAAAGATCAGCTCACAACACAGATATGCACAATCCTAATTAAAATCTGACCAGTCTATCACACATCAATATTAAAGTATGGCACAATGCTTTTTAATGAAACTTATTCACTACGCAACAACTGTAGATTGCTCATAAACAATCAATATGTATCTGCGCTTGTACTTGTATTAAAAGTAGAAAAGCCATGTGTTCATTCAAATTCAAGACTAGAAAATAACTAGTTATACCATAAAAATGCAAGATGGAAATAACGTTTTGAAATTTATCTGTTTTGAATACTACTGCTCATTACTGTATTACAATTTAAACAGTAACAATTACTTTTATTAAGTCCAATATGTCTAGCATCTAAAGGCTATGTGAAAATTGCTGTGTATATATTATTTTGGACTTTTCTTGAAATTACACCTTGATAATGTTTCACTCGATTGCTTCTGAATATTCAGGATACTGTGTCTTGTCAACACTAAACTGTAATAATTATTATATGCAGAACATTGAAATCTAAACATCCCTGGTGGTAATGAGAAAGCCTTAATGTGGAATTTTAAAATTAACTAGTATTAATTAGTATTAGCTAGTTTTTTAAACAGTCCGCCCTGTGAGGATAATTATTAAATGTTTATTTCACAAAATCAGCAACTATTTTTATCAAACACATATTGATGAAAAATCAATGTAACAAATGTATAAAAATAAACATGCCTAAATAGGCTAAATGAAATTTTTAAATGAAGTAACGCTCATATCAAAATGTTGAAGGCACATCAAACTACCTTCTTCCATTACTGTTAACTTTGTAAACTATGAAGTGTTAGCTTTAGAGACATTCACGTCTTTTTTTAAAATTACATTTACTGCTGGGATTCATTCATTCTAGATAAATTCACAAAATGGTGATGATAGTAGGCATCAAAGTAAGGAATGTAGCATCTGCCAATTTTTTTTCCCACCTGTAGTATTGTATGTAAAACTGCTAATGTAAGTCAGTTGTACAGCAAAATCAATATATTACTTTTAATACTTTAAGGTACATGTACATTTAAGTCCATGCTATTTCAATTTAAGAATAATTGAGGCTTTAACTATAAAATGGCACTCTTTTTAGTGTTAGTTGTACCATACAACATGATTAGTTGGATTTAGGGTTAGTTACAACAGATAATAGCCCACTGTACTGTAATTGAAAGCACTTGAATACATTATGATTAATCATGTCTGCAACCACAAGCTGATTTAGTTAGCCACTGCATATGTAATGAAATACAAGTTGTAAAATTCTACCTACTGAAAAGGACTTTGTACTGTTAGATTTGAAGCTTTTAGATATTCAGTACAGATACAAATTAAGCTTTTGCATCAGCCTAATCACATTATTATCAAAAGTTATTGTTCATCTAACTATAACAAAGTATGAAGGATACTTTAGGCATATAGTTGAAATATAACATATTTCTGTACCTATGTAATTTATGAAGTAAAGTAAGTTAGCAAAATATAATTGTTAATTTAACTTTACATCAGTAATTTATTAATGATCTGGGTGGGAATCAATACCAATTATTTATTGACATAAATCAATTTTAAAAGTTTAGATTTGCACTAGAAAACCTTTACTTAAGGTTTAACTTAAAGTGACCTGTTATGCATGCAAACATTTCCCCCACTGTATGGTAACATACAAGAGACATTTGAAAAGTGATTTAATAAAAAAAAATACTTTTTACCATAAACATAAACAACTGAAAATTCTTTTAAAGATGATATAAATTTAAATTAGTATAATAATAAATATTCTAATGCACCATTTGAGAATTTTGTACCCGGCATTTGATTTACTGGCAGTCCTAATCACACATAAATATTCATAACTTTTGTGATTTTTGAGCGACAAAGTGGACAAACTCTTCTGCCCACTAGCTGTGATCGAACTATCTGGTTAGCACATACTACACACATACACATATGTCTGCAAGGTAAAACGAGAACTGATTTGATTTCATCTTGGCACACAACACATTTTCTTTTATCCCTCTCCTTTTCCATCTCCCTTATAAACTCTTCTTGGTTATTTAGCACCTTCGGTGTTCTGGAAGGAGTAAATGACCGGTCCCTGAGACTGTAACGTTCATCAACAGGTGGTAGTTGGACTTCTATCTCATGATCACTGGATTCAGTGGAAAATGTCTGTGAGTTTATTGAAGTATCGCTGTCTGATTCTTCTGTTACGACAGTATATTCATCTGAATCATTGTCTGAGAAGACAGAGCTATTGGTTTCATTTGCACTTTCATCTCCGCTGCTAGAGTCATTATCATTACCTTCATCATTGCTATTGCCACTGTCATTTTCAGTTCTATTATTATCCCAGGTGTCTGTATCAGATCCATATACATCTTCAAAATCACTTTCAAAACCTCGATCAAAGTCAAAATTATTGGTCCCTTGACCTGTAGCATGACTACCTCTTGTTCTACACGGAAATAATGATAAGCCTTTGCAGTACATATAGCGAAGAATGTTTGATATGAAAAGATAAAGGATGCATACAACACCTATTCCAAGGTATGTCTCCTTTGTAACTGATGTTAACAGTATGGATAAAGTCTGGGTTATATTTCTCCATGAATCCTCAGCTAAATCTTCAATACGTTGCATACAGTACAAAGGAAAATAAGCCACAGATGAGAGGACAAATCCTAGTCCATGCCATACACCAGTCACAAAATTAACACAAACACTTCCAAGTAAAGATATCAAATTAAATATAGTTGTCACAGTAGTAGATATTGCCATAATGCTGGAGTTAACATTGGGTAGAGCAGTGTTCACAGTGTAGTTAAATGCATGGACAAAGCCATTACCACAAGAAAGGCAAAATGTGTGGAGACTAGAATAGCACACTTGAGTGAGCTGCAGAATCTGAAGTGTGATGTTCCAAAAGCTATTGATTATAGATGAGAAAAACAAGAATATTTCAAATATGTGATTTAAAATGTTGCTGAAAAGTACTTTCAGTTTATTATAAATTAAAGCAATGGCTGAAACCACCTTGATGATTGATTCAACTGCAGCTGCAACCAGTTCATAGTTGAGATTAAAGGCATATTTACATGCATTTATGACCAAGTTAATTAAAGAGGCAGTAAATTCAATTACAGAATACAGCATATCAAATATTGTCAATTCAGACTTAAGCTGTTATAATTCCAAAAACACTACTGTACTTTTTAAATCCACAAATCCACTCAACTTTAATTCAAATTGTTTTGATATGAGAGTATGTTCCAAAACTATATATCAGTAATGAAGTATGCCGATAGTGAGTTGAAAATTTGTTCTACATTCTCTGTTGTCCTAAAGCTGTTTAACCTGTTGAGATAAAAAGTAATAGATTAATTTTTATATAATGTATGTATTAAATCATAATGAATTAGAATGATTGCTGTCAGATTGAAAACTGTGCAGCAGTATACTAATATAAGTCTGTATATTATTGTATACGATTTAGGGACAATTCCTTATACAGAATTCACTAAATTACAGATACAGTCGATAGGCCTACTCAAAGTAGTCTAAAGTTCATAAAAGGAATACTCTTAAAAAAGGGATGTTAGATTACTCGTAGTTAACCCACTTCTACTCAGTTTTCTTTTATTTACAAAAATATAATTGAATTTACTGAAGGCTAAAAGTGATATTTTTTAGGCGTATATAAATAATTAATAATCTATTGTCTGCCGAGGCTGGTCATGTGAAAAAAAGTTGCCTCATTGTTAAGGCTGAACAGGATTTAATAGAAGAGGTATATATATTGTGATATATTTGTGTCAAATATAATAGATATATCAATATAGGCCAGAAATTAACTTTAAACAGTAACTATGATTTTACACAAAAAAAAAAAAAACTTATACTAGATCTATACTAAAGTAAATGAGCTTGATTGCATTTGATGAAAACATTGCAAGTCTTTATTATTTATTACTGAAAACATTTAATACAATTGTTTAAAAACAGGTAGATCTAGATGAATAAAACTTTGAAACATTTGTGTAACTTTCAAAACATTTTTAATCATGATATGATTAATTAATGATTAGCCTAATCCTCCTAAAAATGTGAAATAATTACTAAAATTTAATGAATCATCTTTTTTTCACATTACTAGAATCTAGATCTAGTCTCGGCCGATTTTATCTAGAATAGATCTATCTAGAGTGACAAAGTAAAACAATAGCGGATAGATTACCAAAGCCAAATATTTAATAATTTTCTATTCAATTTTTTTTAGGCCTGGAATTTTTTTATTTTTTAGGCAACAAACAACTAAGTAAAAAAAATATAATCTACGCATAAGCATTACTTAAAAATGGGCAGGTGAAGTAATTCAACTATTTGTGTGAATTTTAACTAATAAGTATTTAGAAATCTAGTATAATTAGCCTAGCAGCTTAATTCTAATAACTAACTACTACTAAGTTACTAAATAACGGCCAAAAATGTTTATTTAATGTTTTCGCTGCCATCTTGAACGAGGTCATTTCCTGTACTTAACAAAAATTAAAAATAAAAACGGGGCATTCCCGAAACTTTCAATACCAGATATAACTTAATATAAGATAAATTCTACTTCGAGGAAGGCTATCGATGTACAATAATTATTGCTTAAGTTTAATTTTACTATGTAATAATATACACTATACTTTATTTATAATATGGAGATCTATACTACTATTATTAGTAGTGATTAAAATTAGTTCAAAATTGCTAATATATTTAAGTAATTGTGTCACTAGGGCCTAAACATTTTTTTTTCATATGTATCACCTTTTAAAGGGTTTGATTTGATATTGATTTTTTCAATTAATTAAATTGTTACTAAACTTTTCAATAAAGCTAGATCAATTGCAAATCAATGCTAAGAAAATGTTTTTTTACTGCTTTTCGACATAAATCTGGCATAATGCGGTGTCTTTAAAAACTATAATTCTAGTTTTGATGAAAACAAAGTTGAATCTAAATCTAGACCTAGATTCTAGATCTATAGAGCTAGGCTTGGTGTAGTACACTAAATACGGAAATACCAAACAAGATCTAGATTAGAATACAGTCTAGTTACTAGTTAGATCTACTAGATCTAGATGCATATTCTGTTTACTAAAAGCTGTTTCTTTGTGTGACGATATTTTTTTACTATGAACATCCAGTGACGCTCAACACAACTGCACACTCAACAGTTGAGTCAGCTGGTCATCTACCAACACCTCACATTTTTTTTTTGCTTTGGATAATGAACATATGCTTATAAAACAAACTGCAATCTTCGCAACAAATTTACTAGACAATCTACTTTTGATTGAATGCCTTGTCTAAAATTTTGAGGTTGTCAAATGCCACTAACTTTAAAAAAGACAGCCTGATTAAACCGAAAAGAGATTCTCAACCTTGTTTTGGTCCCAGGCAGATCTTCAGTACTGTACACTTTATAATTATTTTGTAAAGTTATATAGATTCTAGATCTACATCTAGTTTAAAAAAAAATAACAACTGTTGAACATCGTTATATAATATATTATTATATTTTCAGTCAGCTATAAATACAGTAAAATAAATGAACTCATAATCAGATTGTGTGTAATTGCAAGTGTAGGACCATTATCTTGTGTGAAATTATTTCAATCAGTAGTCCTACCTACATATCTAGATTTTAGATCTAGATCTACATAGGTTTTTGATTTAGTGTATATTGTTAGCTATTGAAATATGTGCCGAATGGATAACAGGAATGAATTTGAATTTGTCCTTTCAATTGTTTTCAAATGCTTCCCATGCAAGCTACCTTACTTACACTCTTTACAAGTGTTTTAAAATTATTCACTCTGTTGTTAGCATCATAAAAATTATGGTTTACTTCCTCTTACAAGTGGCATTCGCTGTGTTTAATGCCATTGCATTTGGCTTTGGAAAAATATTTATCAATACACTTTACTGGGCCTCCTGGGTTTTATTTCACTTCACATGTGGAATTTTAGGCTTAGAGGATAAATCAACAAGTGCATTTAGCTGGCTTTTTGTTGTGCTTATCTTTGTTGTGTATTGTGAAAGAAGCCATCAAGATTGGTTTTGCAAAATAACTAGATTTTTATCAGTTCATAATCAACGATATTTTGGAAGACTAAGAAACAATCATCACTTTATGTGTTATGAAAATGTCAATGAAGTTGTCCTTGAGAATGAAATAAATGAACATAGAGAAATTGAACCTTTAACCAGACAGTTAGAGGCTGAAAACAGGGAAAATGAGAATGAAGAGAATAACTTGGTAGAGGCGGATATACACAGGATTGAAAATGATAATAGAAGAAATATTGCAAGAGAAAATGGTGCTGATAACCAAAGAGCTACTTTGGAAAATCGTCAAAATGTAGAAAGAGAGAGACACAATACTAGAACTTCTTTGGAAAATCGAAGAAATCGCACTCAAGAACAACAGCATTATTTTTTAAGACAACGAAACAGAAATCGGTTTCAACAGCAAGAACGTTTGGGAATAATTCAGCATGGTGTTGAAGCAGTTATTTTACCTGGATTAAATGTGTATAATATTTTTCAAGTTGACCGGAACCTGTCTGTTTTATCAAGACATCAACAAGCTTCCAGGCAACAGGGTAGGGATGAAAATAACTTACGAGTGAGGTCACAAATCGTGGCTAATTTTCTGCGTGGTCCAAGGGTTTACAACAGTGCTTCTAATAATCGTCCTGCCAGGCAGTTTTTAATCCATGAGGAGAATGAGAGACTGGAATTACCATCATAGTATTTTCCAAAAAGAAAATATATTTGCACTGCAGTGTTCTATTGATTTTTGTGTGCTGTATTTTAACTATATATTTAAAAAAATTAGTTGTGATTTTTATTCGCCTTTTATTTATATAAGGTTAGTGAAGACCTTAAAGAAATGTAATCTTAGCATATCAGCAAAAATCCTGTTGAGTGTTGTATTATATTCTTTTTAATCAATGTTTGAACTTAATTATGTAGCTTGTGTATTATAAAACCATTTTTTTAGTAACACTAATTCCCATAGAGAAATACAAAAAAAGAATACTTTTATTATTAAAAGCTTGGCCAGATATTATTAATTCATAATCATATAGTTCTATTATTTAATATTTTGCTTAAATAATTTTAGTATACATATTTTCCAACTTGTTTCTACTTACACTATCTCATACTGTTGAAATTTTATCAGTTTTTTCTTTTCCAACAATTAAAACAAAACAACTTTGAAATAGTTAAAACATAATATTTTAGGTAACTGTAACTTAGGAAACCTAAATTTTTCCAAGGTAAGCTATTATATACATTTAGAATAAATGTCTAAAATAACTACACTCCTTACTTACACTATGAATATGAAATTAAAACTAATTGATGTTTTGGTACTACTTTAGCTCTGTAAAAGAATTTGTATGTCCTCTGTTTAATGTGATTAGAACTCTGTGTAGTGTATGCCTACATTTAATTTGAAGCATTTGTAAAGCCAAAATATGTTGTTGTACTGCTGTTAAATATTTTTAAAAGATAATGTATGCTTTTGGTATACACCATAGGCAAAGTAAATCCATTCATTGTGCAAAATGATGGAAACTACCCAAAATGTTTTTCATTTTATGTCAATGTTGTATTAATAAACTTAGTTTGACATTAGCTGTTCAGTTATATTAAATTTTCTGACTTCATCATTTAGTTAATTGTGAAAAGTTGTTTTTGTTTAAGTTTTTACAGAAGTCTAAAGAACACTTGTGATTTTGTTAAGCAAGCAAACATTTTATGTATTAAGAAAACAAATGTTAGCTGAAATAAAAAAAAAATTTTACTCATTGGTTTGAGTACGTTGCAAATAATAAATTGTTGATCCATATCATGTTATCAATTATATTTTATTTAATAATTAATTTTTAAACACCATCCATTTTGTAGTAGAAAATGACTATTTTGGAACTCTTTTCCCTTGTTGGTGCTACTTATGAAAACAGAATACAGTATTTCATAGTTTATTACACAATGCATAGAAAACCGGAATTAAAAAAGAAACTGAATTTACATCTACATCCACTTTAAAAGATGTTGTACAAAGATTAAAACATGGAAGCATATTGAAAACTAATAGTGGGATTATAACTTTTAAAGATGGAGGTGGTGACCTTGGTCAGATACAACAAATTATATATATATATATATATATATATATATATATATATATATATATATATATATATATATATATATATATATATATATATATATATATATATATATATATATATATATAAACACTTATATAAGACATAGTGTTTGTTAGGTTTTTTATTTTTTAATATATATTGATGCAAATTTATTATTTTCACTCTTTAACAAATGATTCAATTGTAAATTTTAAACTTAAATCAACCAAGTAAATATAACTTAACTTTAAAAAAAATAATTGTGGTACGGTTTGACAGTGTACCTTTACTTGTTGTAAAAACATGCATTTGTTAATTATAATGAAGGTATTTAAATTATCAGAACATGTTAACTTCGTTGTAGTAATTGAACTGAATAATATTTTAAAGAAAAAACTTATTCATGTATACTTAATCTGAGCTCGTGAAAAAAAAGTGAGACATTTCTCGTTTTTTTAATGGATCAATTAAGAAAAAAGTCCAATTTATTCTTTTCTCCCTTCCTACAGGATCTGAACTCATTCCCAGTGTTTAAGTCCTATCTCCACTTGGTTACCTCCCCAACTAAGCTGTGGTCATACAATTGTTGTACTGTAGTTTTAAATTAACTAAATTAAAACAGGATTTTGGCAATCAGTTACTTATAACCTAAAATATCTTCTGATGATTATATATTATTAAAGTATATTTATGATGTATATGATATGCTAGATATAGTACTGGTATTGTTCCATACATTTTAAAGTTGTGATTTCTTGCTATTGAATGCAGTTTATTTAATCCTTGCATGTCATTGCAATGTATTATACATATCATGTTTACATCTATTTTTTCTTTTTTTTCATGGAATAAAAGATATTCCATCTCTGATTTGTTTTCATGGAAAGATTTATGAAAAACAGAATCAATTAATTTTGTTTATTATTGGATACTGTTTTTGTGTAAAAAAAAACAACACCTCCTATTTTTCAAATAATTTTGCTTTAGTAATCCAAATTAATTTTTATTGTCAGCTTTTGTTTTTAAAAAAAACCAATATAAATTCAGTGTGCATTTTCTATTTGTGAAAACAAATTAGGGGACTTTATGGTGTTAATACATATCATGAACATTAAAGTTTACTTTGTGTGATAAATTTGTTGTTGTTCAAATTAATTTCAGCAATTAATAAGCTGCGGTTAAGCATTAGCTCCAAAGCTTGAATGATGTGATTATATAGCCACTTCACCTGGGTACCTGACTGTTGTTTTCGGAAAGTAAAAGTGGCTGAGCATAATGCTGACCACACTATCTGTTCATATACAGAGGATAAGAAACATGAACTCTACTTCATCTGACCTGTGGATCATTAGTTCTGAAAGGGGAACTTTAATGTTTTACAGTTAGAGTGTAATTGTCTCATGCATTAGAATATTTAGAATAGCACTTTTGCACTAGTCGTTATTCTTCACAAGATGTCACTGCAGCTATATAGAGCATACATTACCATTAAACTCTGTAGCTCAGACAAACAGTCCAACTATTGTCAATGTGCAGTATGGGCTGCAAATAATTTTTGTCTTTTAAAATATAACAACACAAGTAAGGTCTGATAGTACAATTTATTTACATTTTGTTTCAACGTGGATTTTTGGTCAACAATTTGGTCTAGTTTTAATTAGCCAGGTGAATACAAATTTCAGAATGAGGCAATAACATTTTAGATACATGTTTGTTAATTACAAAATATAACATCAACTGGAATACATTTAAAAATGTTACTTAGCTTCATTTTATCTGGTCACTAAAGGAATGCTTCATGTGGAGCAAATAATTGTGGAATAAATTATCAAATTTTTATTAATCTCATTTAGTACAATTAAGCTTTAATAAACTTGATTTAACAAAATTTGTTTCATAAAAAAAGCCAATTTCTAGTTTTGCAATGACACTGTAAATTGCATGTACAGGTGAGAGCAGTCTTCAGAGTTTGATAAACTTTAACTTTTAACTTATAGAAATTTCCAACTTGTAAGAACTCGACACCTTCTGAACTACTTAACTTATTAAGTAAATAATTAGTATTTATGGTAATAACAATAAATTTCTTTCATAAGCTTATTTCATTTAAAAAACTTCAGTCTCCAATTTTTTTTCACTTTACTAATAATTTTATTAATTTAGATTCTACATCTAAAAAAATATTCAATTATTTACCTGTTATTACTGTTAAGGGTATGCACAATAATGCTAAGAAAACCAAGATAAAAAGTATTAAAACCCACTGAAACATTTTTAAACATATTCCCTTTTTTAACATAATCAGCAATTTTAACTGTATTGTGCAGGCTTGTTATTCCCTAGCATTTGTTGGTAGACAATACACATTTTTTCTTATTTTACTTATTAAATAGACTCCAATAAAAATATCCAGTAGAATACAGAAATTGCTAGTTGATGCTAGTTGTTTTTATTAAAGTAAAAGGGTCATGTCTTGAGATCTTAGAACAGTAGGTCTAGGACTAACAATTCTTAAATAAATATTGCTCAAACGAGTTGGTTTACTTTTAAGAAATATGGGGCGAATAAAACAAGTGAAATTTTCAGCCAATCTGCTACTATATTGGGTACATATTTTGGCCTACATGACTGGTTTTTTTTGGGAGATAAAACTTACAAAACTAGTTGGTTTAATATTTCTCCATGCATTCTTTGTAGGCCTATTAAAAAATAACAAATAATTACAAGTGTAGAGTTACCTAAACCAAACATTAGAATCACATCAGAATTGCATTTATAATTCAGTGTAAAATCATTTGTAATAAAATTGCAGAAAAAGCTTTAATTTTAAAAAGTAGCTGGAATGTATGGAGAATAAACTAAGCCAGATTTTTAAAATGTAATTTTTTTTCATGAAATACAAAAGCTCCTGGGACTATAGTCAACAAGGCTATTTATCAGATCAGGGAATGTGCAAGTATTGCATAATATGCAACCAGGACATTACTAACCCACCCTTAATCCATCTAAGATTATATGCATTTTTATAAGACCACTTCGCCCTTATGTATTAACTTTACTAGGACTAATCCCCCCATGCAAATACACAGCTTGTTACCACAAAAACTGATTTTAAAATAAATCAGATTTTTAAACAAAACTCCCCTGTTTATAAACATCTTCAGCCTTATATTGTTTAAAAGAAAGTCTTACTACTCTAGAAAGCTTTTTCCAAAAAAAAAAAACCAATATCCAAGGTAGCCCTACATAATATTGCTTTTTACCAATGTATTTCCTCTTCATATGTGCACACACCTAAGCACTGTCGGTATTATTAACAATGAGGTACATTTTAAATAAGTTCATTTATTATTTAAAGCAAATGATGGTCATTTTTGGCATTGGAAAATATACAATTATGTATTAACCACTTTAAATAAGATGCATAATTCCCACGAATTAAAATGTAAATGCAAAAAAAAAAATAACCTCAAAAAAATGGGTAGAGCTGATTTGAGTCATTAAGTAAACTAAAAAAAAAATCAAATGTATTGTATGCATTTCATAAATGATGTCCTAAACTAGTTTATAATTATATGGATGCTGCATATAAATATAGCAAAATCAGTACATTTACCATAAACAATGAACAACAAATAGTGCATAATAATAATAACAAAAACCTATTTTTGTTGCGTATTCAAATACTTTTCTTGCTAAGACCTGCTTGTACAATTAAAAAATGGCTATTTGTTAATATAATTTATAAATACAAAGATGGGATTTATTTAGATCCTTTTTAATACCATCATGCTAAGATTTAGATTTTGACCTGAAATTAGCCTATTATGAAAAAGTGTAAATATATAAATATATTTATTGCTAAACTTAACATTGAGCTGAGAATACATATAACTTGCTTTATATTTATACTGAACATAATTATTACAGCCAAGGCACATTTAAAACATACTCGCAAATTAATTATTTTTACTCAATATTTACAATTAAATATTATCATAGTCAGTACAACAGTGGTCAACATTATGTAACATATAATTCACATTTCTCATTTGTACATCCGGTTTTAAAACTGTGACAACAAATCTAACTTGAAACATGGTCATGTTTTTTTTTTCATTCAGTTTTGATGTAATCCTCTTTGCTCCTTGTGGAACATAGGGCCTTAACCATACCATTCCATTTTGTCTTCGTTCAAATATTTGATGCAGATTTAAACGCAGATTGGAGAGATTAAAAACAAACATTGTAAATGTAGATCCTGTTTAGGAAAACCTAGAATATATTTTATTTGAAAAGTTTAACTTCAAGTGGTTACTATGGAAATACAATGATGGAGTGCCAGAGGCGTAGCGACCCTTCCCGGCGCCCGGGGACAAACTTTCGATTTGCACCCCCCCTCAAACTTTCGATTTGCTCCCCCCCTCAAACTTTTCATTTGCACCCCCACCCTCAAACTTTTGATTTGCACCCCCCTCCTCAAACTTTCGATTTGCTCCCCCCCCTCAAACTTTTCATTTGCACCCCCACACTTTTGATTTGCACCCCCCCACCCTCCTCAAACTTTCTATTTGCACCCCCCCCCCCCTCAAACTTTCAATTTGGCGCCCCTTCTAAGGTCGGCGCCCGGGGACATATGTCCGTCCCCCTCCCCCGCCCCCCCTCGCTACGCCTCTGTGAAGTGCTTCACAAACATGAATTGAGAAATGACTTTTTGAGAATAAAAATCACAGATGGAGATTAGGCTGTTATTGTTATTATTAATTTGCTTAGAAGAAAAAATAATAGACATTAAGTTCTAAATAAAACCCCAGTAAATATTTAACCTCCAGACTACTTTTTAAAAATAAAATATTTATATTACAAGATTCTATAAAAATTGTATGTTATAAGTGTTGAAATGTCAGCATATATGAGTAAATATGTAACCTCCATGTTTATTTTTGTACTACAAAGTCAAATACATCTATTAAAAAAAGAATACTTTAATAAAGTTTGATAAAAATATATTTAAGTTTATCTTATATATAATATAACATTTCCAAACTGTTGGATAAAGAAATAGCTAATAAAAGTAATGCTGTTTTTAGATGAAAAATGCATACAAAAGGCATTATATGAAAGCTACCAAGCATACCAATTTTTACAAAACAATAACACTTAATTTTACCTAAGTTTAAACTGGGGATTTATGCTTTGACATAATTAGGTTGAGGAGCAAGGAGGGTTGGCCCACCATGTGGCACTGTTTGCTTTTATTATTCTTAAAACGTCTAGATCTGATCAATAATAGGCTCAAAACTGTTCAAAGAGGTCACTTGTGTATAAGATTGTCAAGGTGTAGAACTACAAGTGAACTAAAGACAAAACTTGAGCTAAGTATTTGCTCGTTATTTACAGCAAGGCACTTAGTACGTAAAAAATAATTGTTGAATACAGCTCCCAATTTCTGTGGTCATTTAAATTTGAGTCAAAAGCATAGTCACAGGAACCCCATAATTAACGGAGATAAAGTATGAAAGACGACAAGAAAATAAATCAAAGCTGGATAGAAGAAAGCATACTTTTAAAAAATTCATTCATCCAATATTAAAAGACTTGGTAAAAGTCATGGGTTAAAGGAAATCTTTTTAAATTCCTGTTCTATTTTTACATTTGAAATAGTATAATGTATTATTTGCTAGTCTTATTCATTTTTAAACTATGTTAATAGTAAGCATTAAAACAAAATCTTCATGTTTTTTTTCCAGTAGTTGCCATTATTTGCGATATAGTGATAATAAATTCAAACTTCTACACTGGAATGCTGAGTCTGTCTGTAAACATTTTAAATTTCACCAAAAAGTTTTAATTATTTACACAAACTTAATAATTAACATACAGTATATCAGTGAACATATTATGCTCAATAAAAAAAAAACAAAAAATTTATCACAAAATTATTTTGCATCCCTTTTTCAGAAAAGGTAGGAAAAAAAAACTTTTTTTCTGTCAAGTGAAAACTAACTATTTGTTCTTTCAGATTTATCTATGGATCTTGAGCAAACTCCTGAAATCGCATCCATTATTCTGAGTTTTTGGGTTTTAAATTTTTCTTGCCCAAGATCTTCATCAAGTCTTTGCTCATGAAGTAAGGTTTCTCAGGGGACCCATCATTTCTTTCTATGTCCTCAACTGAAAAAATAATTACAAAATTTAAAAACATGATTTTTTTTCCCCAACAGAAACAATTATATAATTTAAAAACTAGAATACTAAAAACAGATGTTTTATTAATGATAGTTTGACTTTCGGTTTTGTGAATGAGCCATGTAAAATACAATGTTTAATAATGTTTTTCAATACATTGAATTTTTTTTTCCATTTGAAGAAAAAGTGCCTGTCACAGGATATGGATACACATTTGTATTTCGTATCGATAATTATCACATAATTCAGAAATAAGGTTCAAACAATAATCTTATTGTAAGAGAATTTAATAACAAACAGACAAAATGAGCCACAGTACAACTCTTATTCTAATAACTCTATAACTTACGAAAACATAGGAACAAAGTGTCAACTGCCATTTCATAGACACTAAAAAATATATCAGCAATAATGTAGGATCCTATGATTACAAGCTGAAAAAAAGAAAATAACAAAATAAACTTTAAAAAGTTGTTTCTTTTTTGCAATACAGGCAGATATAAATAAAAAATATAAATAAAAAAATAAAATATTACATGCATATATATATATATATATATATATATATATATATATATATATATATATATATAAAAATATGTATATATATGTGTTTATATATGTGTGTGTATATTAATATATATATATATGTGTATATAAATATAATGATCAATTGAATAATGATAATTATAAAATATTTCAATACTTACAATTATTGGCACAATATAAAAGTTTAACTGTGGTTGATAAGCCTTCAAGAAATCAATTCTCCCATCAAAGAAGAAATAAGCTATTACACCTAAAATTAAACAAATGTTAACTTTTGAAGTTTTAGCATTTGTATAGGGGGGTGGGGGTTGGGAAGATAAAGAAAGACAGAAAAACAGTTGCAGGTTTGTATTACCGTAACACAGAAATTAACTTGGAAGAGGATAAAAAATGAGCATATTTAGAAAACAGGATGATAAAAAAAAATATAGACCTTTTGTTACCAAGAACTTAATGTGGGCAATTTTGTAAACATAAATAAAAATTTTCATTACCTACGCTTCCAACAACCAAAAGTTTGCATATAATGAGCAGAAAGTCTGTAACTTTATCCAGCACAAACGCTCTCACAACATTTCTTAAGATAAGCTCAAATGCTCTTTTGGCTGAGGAACAGAAGTTCTTGCCATACACAGCCATCTAAAAAGTTAAAATAAAAGTTGATATAAACTTGACAATATTTAGAATGTATAAATATTTTTCATTTCATTTTATCTATTTCACCAGGGTATGATTCCAAAATCCTTACCATAATGTAGGCGTTCTTACACAAAAACTTAAGAAACTTTTCCAAGCACCAGAAACAACACTTTAGGCACCTGGATATTTTAAACAAATTTATTTGATGAGAGAAGTTTAAAATGTTAATTTTTTAAAAATGCATTACTTTAAAATAACAGGGCTAATTTTTTAGTATCTCTGAATAATTTTGTAATCTAGTATGTTTCTAAAGTTATGCACATAATTTAATGAACAAAAATTCTAAACCACCAAAAAACAACTTCAATACTATCTAATATTTGAAATATGATTAATTGCTATTAGGTTTTCAATTTTATTTTCAGCTTTTTATATTTATTCCTATTTTAAGCTTTTTATAATTATTCCTATTTTCACCTTTTTAAATATATTACATTAAAATAAAAATAAAAGAACTATGCAGCACTAAATAAACCACACCTAGACACATTCTTTGAACACACTTAGCCCTAAATCAAAGTTTTCTTACTTGAGGAAAAATTTGGCAACAGGATTTTCTGATGATTTGAGCTTAGAATCAACATACTCTAGACAGGCTCTGATTATCTGGACAATGGCGATCAGCAGGGAGCCAAAGGCTAAAGAGCCCAAGTGGTATCTGGAATGTTAATTAATTTAAAAATTTAATTTATGAGTACTAGTTTTCTTGTAAATAGTAGTTTTTATATAGTGAGTTCTATTTAATAAAGCACCACTGGATGCAGTTTGTACTTCTCTTCTTCTTCTTCGTTCTTAATTTTTAGTGTTGGGAAGGATCGAGCCTTATCTGCCAGAGGGTTTGAACTCGAGACTTTTTTCAAATTTATCAACCATGTGCTTTTGCCGACTCAACCATGCTTCTATCACAATTAAGGGTTACGTGTCAACTGGTTATGCGCCATTGAGGCCATTGACTCCGAGTTCAGCCTGCTTTTCTTTTTGGATTTGCTTCCATAGCCTTTGTCCAACCAAGAACAAACTACAAGGCAGCAGTTGTTTGATTTTGGAGTTGTCTCTCTTAGAAGAGTGGCTGTCCCCAGCTAACGAGCCTCATCTGCCCGAGGGTTCGAACTCGAGACTTTTCGGTTTAGCAACCATGAGCTTTATCGACTCGACCACGCCGACCCCTTGTACTTCTCAAGTGCTCCTATTATCTACTCACTTCAAACAGAAAGAACCTTGCTGACATACCAATTGGGTCAGGGTGGTCGATTGGGCAGATGAAGTAGAGTTCACCTGTTTCTCTGATCTCATTAAATATGGGGATACTATAGTCAGCACTATGCCCAGCCGTTGTCACTTTCCCCAATTAGAGTCATGTACTCCTCACAGCTGAATGGGATCAAGGGTATCTCTACCCAGTGAATTGAACTCAAAACTTTTTGGGTATTAACTGTGCACTTTTACTCAATCATGTCATCCTAAAAAGCCCAATATTGTATGAATATCTCACATGATGAACTCGCATAGAAGGTCCAATACAGTGTGAATACTTCAAATAATCCAAATATCAACTCACACATAAAGCCCTATACGTCAAGTAATCCAAATATCAACTCACACATAAAGCCCTATACCTCAAGTAATCCAAATATCAACTCACACATAAAGCCCTATACCTCAAGTAATCCAAATATCAACTCACACATAAAGCCCTATACCTCAAGTAATCCAAATATCAAATCACACATAAAGCCCTATACCTCAAGTAATCCAAATATCAAATCACACATAAAGCCCTATATCTCAAGTAATCCAAATATCAACTCACACATAAAGCCCTATACCTCAAGTAATCCAAATATCAGCTCACACATAAAGCCCTATACCTCAAGTAATCCAAATATCAACTCACCTATTAAGCCCCATTTGGCGTAAACACTTCAAATAATCCAGATATCAACTCACACATAAAGCACTATATCTCAAGTAACCGAAATATCACCTCACCTGAAACACCTCCAGAAGGCACCTAGCAGTGGGAATGTTGGGATATCCTTTGACTTATCAAAAGCCCAGTAATAACTGGCAAATGAGCCAGACAAGGTCAACTGGCCAAGAGCAGCCACAAAGTTCACAAGCCAAAACAACATGAACAGATTGTAGATTTGTAGGTAGATTGTGTAACTGGGGAGCCAAATTTTAAACAATTTAAGATAGATTTTTATGAAAATTACTTAAACAAAGGTGTAGGCCTACTAAATAACTGCATATAAAAAATAGAATGAAAAGTAAAATTGCAATAAAAAACTTATTTTAGTTACCATTTTTTTTTACAATGAACTACTTTTGGAAACAAAAGTACATGTGTTCTATTCAGCGTATGTCTAGAATATTTGTATCTTTATATTAATTTAGAACTACCAATTAATTTTAAATTTCATACTAATTAAAAGTTAATACTTGAAGAAAATGTACATACTCTCCTTTCCCATACTTGAAAAATCCACAAACTTCTTTAGAAGCGTAATTGGAATCCTAATAAAAAAAATGTGAACAATAAAATAGCCTATTAATGTATTCATAATTTTATTTTAGTAATACAATGTAAACTAAGTAGTTAATCTGAAAATCGGGGCTATAGAAGGATGGCTCAACAATGATTATCAAGGTGACAAGGTTTGTGAAAATGGCTTGCAACTTGCCAATAACAGTATTAAAATTACAGAGCAGTAAACTATTGATTAGAGTTGTGCTACTTACATTGTTATCACAGGGAATTTCTTCAAAGAGGTTTATAACATTTTGTTTATACGCTTCAAAGTCTGTTGTCCCATTTGACAAAGTAAAATTCTGGTTGGAAGGTGCTCTGCCTATGGATGCCAAAAATCTTAACAAAAGTCAAGGAAAAATGTATTTCAAGTTGGACAATTTTAACCTGAAATTTATCTGGTACACTGATTTGCTGTGTTACAAGTAATGATTAGACTTTTGAAATTTATAATGTTACAGAAATACAAGCAGATTGGTAAAGTGTGCAACATGATAAGGATACGTCGCAGTGCACCCCCAAAGTGCCACTACAGCCACTTGTAAAATAAATGGGACGATCGGCCACAAAAGAGTTGACCACATTGATCCAACTGCCCTAAAAATAAACATTTAAAAATTACTTTAGTGTGATTTATAATGTAAGTTAGCAAGTTATATATCTAAACAGCATTTTATAAATATTAAATATAAATTGACGGATTTCTCAGTAAAAAAAACGTATAGTTAAATCTAAACAAAGTTATTAGCGTATATAAGATTAGGGAATACATATATTAAAACTATGTATACCTGCTGCCTTGCCCTATGAGTGCAACAGCTATGCGAATTCTCTGGCACAAAAACAGAAGAATGAAAAACACAACCACAAAGATAACACCAAAGATGATTCCTGAAAAGTTTCAAAGTTCAAACAAAAATATCAAATTTCTGTCATTTAAACTCACATTTATTCACTCTAATTATTTTTTAAATGTACAAAGGACCAAAAAATATTTTCATGCAGAATTTGGCACGTATATCTGATGGCTACTTTACTCAGCATGTTTAGGATTTGGGTGGGTTTAAACATAGTTTTGTTATAGTTTTTAAAGAAATAATACTAGTAGTACTAGGCAATTAAATTTATTTAGTGGTGATTTTGAATCTCTATTCTTAAGTGCATTATATTTATGGGGGATTTTCTACAACACAATTAAGTATTATGTGTCAACATGTTATGCCATTTGGTGGAGATAAATGATGTAATATATTAAGCTTTATTTTGGGGGGGAACTCATTCTTCTTGTATTAGTCTTATAATGTTTGAGTGATGTCCCTTGCATGTCAGGTTTCCGTTTCCAATACGGAATAAACAAGGCGTACATAAAATGGCTTCCTCGTCTGATGTATTATCTGTCTAGAATTATAAGATCTCAATCCACTTCAAATGTGGACATAATTTGAGAACATAACATTGTTTCAATTTGCTAAGATGTTATTACTTGTATTCAAATATCAGTTGTTTGGTTACTTCTTAAAATTCTCAACTCACCTCCTGCTAAGAATATTTTCTCTTTTTCAAAAGTCATCTGCCAGACTAAATAAACTGTCATGACTTCTTTAGTACCTTTAGCTTCATAGTACAGGTACCAACAAATCCCGGTTACTGTAAACAGCAGCAGTTTAAAATATTTTAATAAAATTTTAGGTAGGATGTAGCTTATTGCATAAAAGTGTAGCTGTTAAAAAATAAAATAATATAAACTATTCAATAAAATTACAATGTAAATTAAAAAAGGGTTGATAATTGTACACTAGATAGTGATTGTAAACAAATAAATTAGCAGTATAAAAATTTTAAATAATAATTATTAATAATTAAAAATAATTGTTTAACTATGTTATTAAAAATAAATAAAGGTAGATCAGTCCACATATTTTATAAGATTTAATTCATTTAAATTTAAAAACTAAACATTTAGAGCCAAAGATTTTCTTTTTACCATATTAGTTTTATTTACAACATTTTACATTCTTTTTTTGCTACTGTCAAGTAATTTATTTAGTTAAAAAATATGTTTAAATCATTAATTGAATGTTTGATCTTACAGAAAAGCCAGAGCAGCACAAAGAGCAGGATGGTCAGCCACACCATAAAGCCAGAGATCCACCTCATCAGTGTGATCCAGATAAGGGAGATAACCATAGCCACTCCCAAACCACTGAAAATAACAGCAGAGCACCACACATGTACATAAAAAAAAATATATGATTGGAAAAATTATACAATTGTAAAAATCCACATTAGAAACTTGTATGATTATGAACATAACTGAAGTTAAAAAAGTGTATGATTGTAAATAACATAAACAAGTTAATAAAAAGTCTAGTGACAATTTAAGCGCAATTTCCTTAATTAATTTTTTGTGACCAAACGAATCACCCGTAGATGTTTGCACCCCTTTTCGTTTCTCTTCACACGAGCAGAGCTAGTCCCCGCCCCCTCGCGAGATCTGCGCGAGTCTGGCCAATGGCAGCGTGTACCGCATAACGCGTCCAGCTATGCATCAAAAAGGAAAAAAAGCCTACACGATGCTCAGTTAAAAAAAGTAGTAATTAATTTTTTGTGACCGAACGAAAGGATATTTTTGAAAACTTTCTTTGGCAATATTGTTCTAAATTATGGCAGGAATCGATTGGTAAATGTTTCAAGTCGCTAAGTGGTCTGGTTGCCGAGATATGGAGCAAAAACTGCATTTGTTTGAGGTTTTTTGGCTTTTCCGGGAAATCCAGGAAGGAATTCCGGGAATTTTTTTGGCCCACAATCATCCTTGGAACTTGCTTAACATATTTGCTTTGGAACTAGTCCTCGATATTGCTTCGTTGAGGAGGAGATACGACTTCAAGCTGCGGACACACATCCACACATCCATCCATCCAGAAATGACGCATTATTAAACGCAATTGCCAGTATGGAAATTGCGCTAAAAATGTTTAAAAAATAACATTGTATTAAGTTACATTGTTAATGTTAGTCACATTTTAAACACTGCCATTTCCAAGGTATGTAACTTACATGAGTATCATCCACCAGGAGACCACAACATCTGCAATAATTTTATCACCAAATTCCTTCGCCTTAAGAAACGCATTAAACATCCTAGAAAAAATTAATTATTGAGTATTTAATTAAATAAATATATTGAAGAGCTTTTAATGTGCATGTCAAAACAAATAAATTAATATTGTTATTAATGTGAATGTATATAAAACATAGAGAGATTGTATAGAGATGTAGTTAGATTAATAATTCCACTCTTCTATTTTACATTAATTAATTACATCACCAATCTATACATGCGATTACTAATTAAAAAAAAGGCAAAAATGAAAATGTATATTTACTGAAGTCCAATGTCAAAATCATTTCCATTGACCGTCTTGTTTTTATTATCTGTGACATTGTACTGATTTCCATTAGCTGCGGTCACTGTAAGAACTTCTTTGCCAAAATTAAAAAGCTTCTCAATGGCTTCAGGCACACAGCGGTTGAGTACTGAGAACAAATATTTAGGTTTTAAAATGTGCGGGCTTTTATGCACATTCATCCTACAGAGTACAAATAAATTAAGCACCGGGAATAAAAATATGTGGGTTTCTTAATGTATTGTTTTATGTAAGACCTAATGGATGCAAAATGATTTAGTGCTGGGAATAAAAATAAGCCTAAATGAGTTTTCAAAAACACCGCATTTTATGCATGTGCTACAGAGTGCACAAATTAAGCATTTGGAACAGAGGTGAATCTGTGAAGCTTTAATGTTAATCATATTAGATTTTTAAGGTTCAAATAACATTTGTTGTAAAAAAATATTGCGGTAATAAATTTTTAATCTGGATCATTAAATAATACAGGAATTACTAAAGTTTAAATGCCTAAGCTTAAATTTCTGGAAATTGCCCACAGAGTTTACATAGATGTCAGAGACAAACTTTGCTACAACTGTGAAAGTTCTATTTGAATATATACAAGGTATTCCCTGGTAACACCATAAGTTTTATTGGGTAAACAATATAAACTGTTGTAAACAATGTAAACTATTTTGTAAACAATATAACTATTTGGTAAACAATATAAATATTGGGTAAACAATATAAACTGTTTTGTAAACAATCTAACTATTGGATAAACAATATAAACTAATGGGTAAACAATATAAACTACGAGCCGACCCGCGGCGTATCATTTTTAAAATTTAATTTAATTTGTTTTATTTTCTACTTTTCAGTAATTCATAATTTGTGAATTCGACAGTACCAATGCTGCCACTGAATATATTTGCTTTAAAACACTATCAGTAGCTCGTTAAGGAAGATAACCCCCCCCTCTCCTTTCCCCAACCCCCCCCCCCCGTGAAAGCAGCCTCCTCTTAGTTACCTCCCCTTAGTTGAAATTCGTTTCAAACTACATTATCTGCCCCTAATAGCCGTCTCTAAGCCCGGCTCTACGATTGTAAACATTTAGCATGAACCACAGCTCACCAGACCATGTAGGAGTGGGGGTGGTAGGGAGCGTGCTTACAGCTTGTTTCCTAACGTCTCCAAGAAGAGAATTATATATATAGATTTGGTAAACAATATAAACTATTGGGTAAACAATATAAACTACTCTCTTGCGTACTCTTCCTAAACCAGGGTATAATGCACAGAACTCGCATTAAAAAAAAAGGTGTTGTATAAGCTAAAATTTTCCCGTGGCTTAAAATTATTAAGAGACCACCAAATGGGTTTCCATTGACATCCAATAAGATTTACATCTCCAAACTAGATTATTCTAGCACACATGACAAGTATAAGTGACTAACACTGCCGATCATGTTAGATTATTGTTATATAAAAATAAAATGCTTACCAGAAGTGCTGTTAAGATAATAAGATGCACAATCATCGTCTCTAATTAGATTATCAAAACTCTGTTGAATAAACAAAGCAAAATTAAAATTTAAAAATCTTTACAAATTATAAAAAAAAATAGCCCTATTGATTAATTTTTGTTTAGTCTGCGTGCTATAATATCATTCGAAATTTTGTGTGTGTGTGTGTGAAAAAAGACAATCCACACACTACACTTGAGTGGCATTTACTTTAATTTAATTAATCCAAATTTCTTGCTAATTAATTTCAAATTGGAAGATGTATTGTTAGTACTATTTCTCCTGACTTTTTAAAAATTTGTTAATAAGCTTTACATTGCTGAGACACATATTGATAGCCACTTTTCATTTTTCTCAGTGTTTGTTTACCAATTCTTGAGAGCCGAAAGCTTTATTATGTAGCTTTGTGATGAAATGTGACTTTATCATATACATTGTTGTGGGACGGAGTGGCCTAGCAGTAGAGCACTAGATGGCTAACCAGAGAGTTTTGAGTTCAAATCCAGGTTCAAGAACGTTATTAAGTCCACCCAGCTCTGATAGGTACCTGACTCACTTTAGGGAAAGTAAAGGTGGCTGGGCATAGTTTTGACCACATTATCCTTTCATATGCCAAAGTCAAGAAACATGAACTCTACTTCATCTGCCCAAAGGATCACTATGTCTGAAGAGGAATGTTTATGTACACTGTTGCACAAATGCTTCAGTCATATCTAAACAGCTGTGGCTATCATTAAGATTCTTCTCCTTCCTCTTGAACCCGTTTGTGCCCAAGACACATGGGGCAGATGAAGTAGAGTTCGGTTGATTCATTGACCTCAGCATATGAAGGGATAGTGTGGTCAGCACTATGCCCAGCCGCCTATGTATGTTTCCCTAACATAAGTTAGGTATCCATCAGAGCTGGGTGGACTCAGGGACCTTCCACTGACTTCAGACTCATGGGTTAGCAGTCTAGCTCTCTACCGCTAGGCCATGCCGTCCCCTAACATTAAGACTACTAATTATCAAAACGCTAATTGGGATTATGAAATCACCTACCTTAGCCTCTAAATTTACTCCATCTTTGCAGATGAGATTGGATTTGTTTTTTGCGAGGGTGTCTTCCAGGTAGACATAATTTTTTTTAGGACATTCCTTCACACACACCTGCGGAATGTTGAAAACTTGTTAATATTTGAACATGGTTAAAAGATAATTTTAGACTTCTAATTTTTGGCTTAAACAGCATTAAAATGTTTAGAGGAGTGAAATTTGGATAATAGAGGATGAGGAATCTGTGAGGAGAGAACATGAACCAATTGTGGATGGTACATCATGAGAAGCACTAAGAGGGTAACCACGATGATTTTGAAAAACTGGAAATTAATGAGAATGAAAATTGGTAGAAGCTAATAAAATGAATTAATAAAACTGGGAGAAGTAAGAGAATGAAAAAATAAAAACTGGGAGAAGTAAGAGAAGGAACCAATAGAAACTGGGAGAAATAAGAGAATGAATCAATAAAATATGACGGAGTCCTACCTGCGGTGTAGGACAGCCTTGGAAGAAGACAGCAGGACCCATGGTTCCACACTTGACCAGGTCAAAGAAAAACAGGTGCTTTTTGTCTCTACATGAAAGATAGAGAGGGACATTTCTGTTCACATATTGGTGAGTTTTGAACAATTTTTTTTTATTATCGCACAGTCCTTCACCTACTGAGTTGTGATTCCCCCCCCTCCCCCCCCGTTAACATCAAATGTCGACGACTATACCGCCAAACAAAAATCTTGCTTATCTCCCCCCCCCCCCACATGCCAAGCTATACTTACACAGTAAGCCCCAATACCCACACATAAAGCTATACTAAGCCCCCCCCTACCCACACGTCAAGCTATACTCACACATGACCCCTCCCTACCCACACACAAGCTATACTCACGTATGAACCCCCCCCCCAACTCCTTACCCACAGATCAAGCAATACTCACGCATAAGCCCCCCTCCCACACAAGTTGCCATTGGAATCCTGCGGGTACACCAGCAGCTCTGGGTTGCCATAAATAAATGCTAAAATGAAAAAAAATAAAATTTTGATTTTTGTAACTCCATATGTTAATGGTAAAGTTGCCAACACGACAACTCGCAGACGCAAAATGGGTCTCAAGATTGCCATTTAGAGCATGTTTACTACTAATGTAAACTCAGCACGCCACCCAGATATTTTAAAATTTAAATATGCTCAAATTATTTTTTATTTCGACGAGGTTTGATGAACAGTGTTAAATGAAATATTCTTAACGAGCCGGCCCGCGGCATAACATACGCCGCTATTTAGTTGTTTCTAATTTTCAATAATTCATAATTTGTGAATTCGACAGTACCAACGCTGACACTGAAAATATTTCTTTAAAACACTATAAGTAGCTCGTTAAGGACCATAACCCCCCCCCCCCAAATATGACCTTTATGTTCAAGGTAGCTAGGTGACTCAGTGCACCGTTTCATGGTATAAGCCTCCCTTAAATGAAATGACTTTCCAAATAGGTGTACTAGATGCACCACACCATAATGTCTTGTAACGACAAAACTTATCATATGGCTTTACCTTGTGCACTTATACCATGTGGATCTACTTACATAATGATAATGGGTCTATGTACACTATGCCATAAGCCCCTGTAATAAAAACGACCTACCTAAAGGGTCTATGTACACCATACGCCCCTGTAACGAAATGACCTACCTAATGTGTACACTATAAGTCCCAGCAACGAAATGACTTACCGAAGTAGGCCACCACACCAAGGCCAACTATAAATAGAAAAAATATGAAGCAGCAGATGACGTCAGTGCACGACCTGGGTAAGACAAAGTAAAATAATTAATTGCAATTTAATTAAACACCCAGTATATCGGTATAACATAGCTAGTACTGTCGGTTATGTTGAACTCGAGCGAAATTCTAACACAAACCTTAGCTGTTGAAACCTAATCGCGACACTAAATCTGACAAGGAAAGCAACAACAGCCGCCGCCCAAGAAGTGTACATTAAACCAAACTTTACCCAATCAAATCTTACACTAGCACCTTAAATCAAGACCAAACGATAAAATTGGGTATGAAGGAACACAGTGGTATGGATGTAAGTATGGGTACTGCTGAATTGATACAAACACACAGTGGCGTAGTGAGGTCGGGTGTCACACGGTGCGGCACTTAATGGTGTCACCCCCCAGAGTGATTTGCAGCCCCCCCCCCTCAAATTTTTCTATATATATTTTGCTATTTTTTGCCTTGGTGTCACCCCCCTAAATGGTGTCACCCGGTGCGGTCTGCACCCCCCCCCTCGCAAATGTGACTGCTCGCATATGAAGAAAGAAATTCATAGAGGAAGGAGTCTAAGAAAATGCATATCTAACAAAATATAAAATTTCACACAACACGAACTTGTGTAATTGTAAAAGCGACTTATTTTAAAATATTGTCAATTATCTATAGGAGAACACACTCGTATACAGGCTGAACACCTTAGTGCAAACATTGGGCTTCATAGACCACAAGGGTTTAGTTTCACACATAAACACGCCTACAGTCATGGGGGGCATATGATACTAAAAATCATAATTATATAACACATATTTTGGCAATATTAAATTAAGTTAGCGTTAGCTAGTTGTCAGTTAAATGCAACAACATCAAACATATAATACTCAAAAGTCTTTTAATTAAGTATTGAAAAGACTTAACGTATTACTGAATTAAACTAGAATTAGAGGATAATTCTAAAATACAAAACTATAAAGGTCAGGCAAAAATTCAAACAAGATTCTATCAGACGTATTTAGTATACAAATAAACAGTAAATTTCTCTTTAAAATAAATAAAACTACTGAATTTCTGTTTTTTGTTTACAGATATTTGGCAACATAGTTATAAGTTTTTTCCCTTGTTTATTTTGTTTTTATAAATGGGACGTAAGCAAACAATTTAGTACTCATTGAAAAACAAATTAAACAATGCAATGTGTCTAAAAGTTTTCTAGAACGAATGGTGAAATACAGTAGCTCTTCTTTTTTTTTTTTTTTTTTGGAAATGGCTGCAATAGGGACTCGAATTATCTGGTAACTATCGCCTGTGGTTGAATTCAGGGGTGGACTCCAGTGTTTCTTTCAGGGGAGGGGGAGCTCTTGAATTTTTTTTTTGTGAGGGAGGGAGGAGGATGCCTGGAAGAAACTGGTAAACCAGGATCAGATCTTAAGGCTTTGAGAGAGAAATCTGAAGTTTGTCGCTGGTTTTTCAAGTTAGTCGCTGGTTTCATAAGATAGTCGCTGGTAACAAACTAGACCAGGTTCAAGGGCTGGTAATAACAGTGCTATGAGACATTCGAATAGTGTGGTACGGCTAACCAACAAGTGTAAAACACTGACCTTTTCTTCTTGGGTCCTTGCCTGGACGGGTCGTACCCTTTCTTCAGAGGCGTGTCTGGAAGTAGATAAACATTCATCGGGATATCAACCCTGCCCATGGTGGCGTAATCACCGACACTTACACACAACAACAGGTACACAAGTTATCCTGGTAGAGAGTTTCGCTTTCTTCCAAAGTTTTTTGTCAACAGGGCGTCGCCGTGCTAAACCAGTGTCGGTTGGCTGGATATGTATAGCGTGTAGACCAGGGTACACTTTTTTTTTTAATAAGTTCAAACATGGCGGTAATGGATGGTTGGCTTTTTCAATTTGTTTTTTTTTTATGCGTATGGGTAATGTGTGCGTGTATGCACATTATTCACGCTTTGAAATGTGTGTATGTATAGATGTACTGGCAAAGGTAGACGATGTTGTCCCGGATATGGCAACACACTTTAATCAGGAATTTGAAAGTAAACTATATATATATATATATATATATATATATATATATATATATATATATATATATATATATATATATATATATATATATATATGTGTGTGTGTGTGTGTATTTGTGCGTGTATACTTTATATGTATATATATATATATATATATATATATATATATAATATATATATATGGGTGTGTGTGTGTATGTATACACTTATATATAATTATCAAAACAGTAGATTTTACTTTAAGTGGCTATAATGTAGGCCCGTGAAGCAGTGGTGTCTTGTCATAACACACTTGTACCGGAACGAACGAATCTAATTTATGCCAAACGTGTCTGTATGCTCCTATGCTGGTAAATTCTTATGTGATAACTACTTCACGGTTGTACAAGGAAGTGGGGGGGGGGGGGGTGAATCCACAGGCCAGGGGTGTTACAGTTTTTGCAGTAATAAGAACACATTTAAGGATTGAAATTCTCCGAATTATAATGCGGAGGATACGAACAAAATATGCATATATACGTATATATATATGCATATAGAGAAATAGTAGTTTGTATATTTGGTGTTCTGTATGGAAAAACTCAGGCAAGATCTAATTGTATTTGGAAAGAAGAACGTGAAATAATGTAAAATTGGGGGACGAGAGTGTAGACTGCAGGGGTCTTCAAACAACGGCCCGCGGGCCAGATGCGGCCCTACGAGGTCCTCTCATCCGGCCCGCGGGGATCTTTTTGTCCAGGAAAATAAAATGTTTGCTAGAGGTGGTTGAGGAACTTTGCTCAGAAAATTCAAAACAATTTGAAAACGTAGATTTTAGTGTAAGTACGATTGCCCGTCGTGTTGCAGACATTGGTGAAAACATTGTGACTCAAATAGCGAAAAATACAAGCACGTTTCGCCATTTTTCAATTGCAATAGATGAGTCGCTGGGCAGCTGTTCCACCTCTCAACTTCTTGTGTTCATTAGGGGTGTGGATGAAGACATGAACATAACACAAGAGCTGGCTTCCCTACATAACATTTACGGCACTGTTACCGGAGAGGCTAATTTCAATGAGTTAAAGAAAACATTTGCTGATTATAACTTGGACTGGACTAACCTCAATTACCTGACTGTTGATGGAGAATGGCATAAAGAAAGGCTTGGTTGGACAAGCGAATGAGAAAAACATTCTACAATGTTCCTGCATTGTATTCACTAGCAAGCTTTACGTGCTAAATATGTGGACATTAGCAGTGTACTGAATCCTGTGGTTAAGATGGCGAATTTAATAAGGCCACACGGACTCTACCATAGATAGTTCAGAGACATGTTGAAAGATACAAACACAGAATCGCAAGATTTACCATATTACACAAAAGAATATGGCTAGGTTGCGAGAAAGTTCTGAGAAGATTATTTAAGTTAAGAAAGACCTCCAGCTGCAGTTTCAGTAGTTGCTTTCTTACTTGGATTCAAAGTCAGAAGATGTAAAACCCATTTGAAACTAATGTGGCCAGTTGCAAAGATGAACTGCAGCTGGAGGTCATTAGAGTCACGTTCACAGAAGGGCGGGTGGGTTTTTATAAGTTTTTGCAAAAGGAAGATTTTCCTAATATTAAAACTTTTGAATCAAAGTACCTTTTAAATTCTAAGAGAACAAAGATTTTCAAGACTGAAATACGTGAAAAACAATTTGAGAGCAAACTTGAACCCCCCAGTGTGTTTTCGGCCCACGACAGTGTTTCTTTCAGAATTTTTTTTTCTCCGGGGGGGGGGGGTGGGGGGTGGGGGGCACTTGAAATGTGTATATATTTCTATATAAATTATATTTTATTGGGGGGTGGTAGACGTTCTTCAGTGGGGCGGGGGGAAGGGCTCCATAAGACCGAAGAGATGCCTTGAAGAAACTCTGGCTCCCGAACTGATATTTGATAGTTAATGCGGCCCTCGGGCTGAAAAGTTTGGAGACCCCTGGTGTAGAGCTTTGGGGTGTAGTCGTGGGAGGAGGGGTCTTTTAGCTCGAGACAATTTGTGTGTGTGGTGGTGGGAGAGGGGGTTATCGGACCAATCTATTATTGGGGGGGGGGGGGGGGGGCGAAGGGGTGTTTTAGCTAGAGACAATTTGTGTGTGTGGTGGTGGGGGAGGGGGTTTTCGGACCAATCTATTATTGGGGGGGGGGGGGGGGTGCGGAGGGGTCTTTTAGCTCGAGACAATTTGTGTGTGTGGTGGTGGGGGAGGGGGTTATCGGACCAATCTATTTTTTTTTGGGGGGGGGGGCTAAGGGGTGTTTTAGCTCGAGACAATTTGTGTGTGTGGTGGTGGGGGAGGGGGTTATCGGACCAATCTATTTTTTTTTGGGGGGGGGGAGGGGTCTTTTAGCTCGAGACAATTTGTGTGTGTGGTGGTGGGGGAGGGGGTTATCGGACCAATCTATTTGGGGGGGGGGAGGGGTGTTTTAGCTGGAGACAATTTGTGTGTGTGTGTGGGGAGGGGGAGGTTGTCGGACCAATCTATTTTTTGGGGGGGGGGGGGGCGAAGGGGTGTTTCAGATAGAGACAATTTGTGTGTGTGTGTGGGGAGGGGGGGGGGGGTTGTCGGACCAATCTATTTTTTTTGGGGGGGGGGGGGGGCGAAGGGGTGTTTTAGCTAGAGACAATTGGTGTGTGTGTGTGTGTGGGGGGGGGGGGTTAACGGACCAACCTATTTTTTTTGGGGGGGGGGGGGGGGCGGAGGGGTGTTTTAGCTGGAGACTATTTGTGTGTGTGTGTGGGGGGGGGTGTTGTCGGACCAATCTATTTTAATTTAAAAAAAAATTATTTTAGTGGGTGGTTGGACTTTGAAAGCATCATGGTACTAAAACGTCTGAGATACAACAGCATTGTTAAAGAACCGGTTATCAAAACAAAACAAGTTTGAAATCGAGCGCTTAAATTCGAACATAACGAAACACTTCCCTTTTAAGCCTGGTAATACAATTCACGTAAATGCTAAGTTGTATTGATATTTTTTTTTAAAGACAAACAAACAGTAAACTAAAAAATTCCTATTGTTCGAAAGACAATTGGATTAGATATGGAAGAGGAGATAAGTACAAACCTGTTCCATGCGAGTGACCATTTTCTCTTGACTTATTTCCCTTGCCTTCGTTGAGTTGAATATCATTAAACGTATCTTCTGTCTTTTTCTTTGCCATGTTTTAGAGAATTTAACACCAGCCACACACCATAATTGTACACACAACAATACTAAGATATTAAGCTATTTTGTCACTTTAGAACAGGAGTTATCTTTTCCTCACAAACGCACTGGTCGATATGAATTGTATTTCAAAATATGAGTTCTCCTTTCCTTAACACATTAATTGATGGCACGCTAATATAAATATAAACAATATTTACAAGAAAAAAAATCAACAAATCTTATATAAATAAACAACAAGGTATAGCCTAAAGTCGTGAGAAGGGTCAGTTTTTTCTTCTATGATTTCATAAGCCTATTACAGAAACAAAATAAGCCCGTTTCTAAGGATATATACCGAACACATTTTTTTTAGCGACAACACCAAAATCTTAAATAAACACATCCAATGTAGGAAATAACACACAGACAGTAGAATTCTCCAATTTGAAAGTAATATTTATTTTATAATATAACAGAGACAGCGACTATCCGCGTGTGTAATGAAATACGACAATAAGTAACGAAATCGCTTACACAGAAACTTGACTAGATAAAGGGCTATAATATTGCGAAGGTGTGTAGACTAAATCAGGGGGGATAACTGGCGAGAAGGTTTTTCTTTTGTTATTGAAAGCGGTTGAATAACCGCGTGCTGTCAGTATTGATGACATCCGGGTACGGGGTTTTATGACAAGGGGTTCAGCATGAAGCAGTGCCACGCCCCGAATCTATTCTTGGTAGGCGAGACTGACAATGCTTTCTGTTAGGGGTGGGATTGGGGGGGGGGGGGTCGATAGAGTGCGGGGTGGGGTGGTTGGGATGATTCATAGATAAACGTATGGTTGGTATCGTTTGCTGCCGTAGTGTCACGATAAATGAGGTAATCGCGTCACGGTAGCTTTAATGGAGTTAATTTATTTCAATATCGTGTACGCGGATGTATATGTTAAATTGTTATCTCCCTTGTTAAGAAGTTGTTGCTTTGAATTAGATGAGTTATAGACATTAGTAGCGTACACGCCAAGTGATAATTAATATTATTCATTAAAGACGTACAGTAGTTCCCACACTAGGTTTTATATGGGGTTCAATTAGGGGTTTAATTAGATTGACGGCATACGAAAGTTTGGCTGTTATTTTTTTCTATAAGGCATCTATAACTTTGAATAATAGATGGGGTGTTTTAAGACATGTTCTTCTACAACCTCACTGCACAAATAAGTGTTTTAGTGTAGATGACAAGACTTAGTGGTATACGAGTAGTCTACAAGAAAATACGACCACAAGAACATAAGGGCAAAATAACATAACAATGTAGGGGCAGAAATGTACAAAAATATAAGGACACAATTACACAATAGCTGGGATTAAGCGTATAGGGGCACAAGACCATAAGGGCACAAGATTTTAAGGGCATAGAATATAAGGGCACCAGAGTAGATGGACACACATCAGTGTATTAAAGAAAATAAACAAATGGGCGCAGGAAAATAGGGGCGCTAAGTTCACAAAAACAAACACTAGGATTGTGTCCAGAGGCTTAGCGACCCATCCCGGCGCCCGGGGACAAACTTTCGATTTGCACCCCCCCTCGAACTTTTCATTTGCACCCCCCCCTCAAACTTTCGATTTGCACCCCCCCCCTCGAACTTTTCATTTGCACCTCCCCTTCAAACTTTCAATTTGGCGCCCCCCCCCTAAGGTCGGCGCCCGGGGACATATGTCCCCCCGCCCCCCTCGTTACGCCTCTGATTGTGTCACGGATACACGGTAACAAAAGGACACATCAAACTAAGGATATTAGAATTTAAGTACACTTGTAAACAATGATACAACGTCAATACGTGATAAGTGTAGAGTGACGTTGTTACAGGAAGGCTGGATAGGTAAGGTGTGCACCAGCACATCAGTGTGTGGATAGGTAAGGTGTGCACCAGCACAACAGTGCGATCAGATAAGGTGTGCACCAGCACAGCAGTGCGATCAGATAAGGTGTGCACCAGCACAGCAGTGTGTGGATAGGTAAGGTGTGCACCAGCACAGCAGTGTGTGGATAGATAAGGTGTGCACCAGCACAGCAGTGCGATCAGATAAGGTGTGCACCAGCACAGCAGTGTGTGGATAGGTAAGGTGTGCACCAGCACAGCAGTGTGTGGATAGATAAGGTGTGCACCAACACAGCAGTGTGTGGATAGATAAGGTGTGCACCAGCATAGCAGTGCGATCAGATAAGGTGTGCACCAGCACAGCAGTGCGATCAGATAAGGTGTGCACCAGCACAGCAGTGCGATCAGATAAGGTGTGCACCAGCACAGCAGTGTGTGGATAGGTAAGGTGTGCACCAGCACAGCAGTGCGATCAGATAAGGTGTGCACCAGCAGTGTGTGGATAGATAAGGTGTGCACCAGCACAGTAGTGTGTGGATAGATAAGGTGTGCACCAGCACAGCAGTGTGTGGATAGATAAGGTGTGCACCAGCACAGCAGTGCGATCAGATAAGGTGTGCACCAGCACAGCAGTGTGTGGATAGATAAGGTGTGATAAGGCTTTGATACATGCGACAGCACAGTCTACGGTCTTCCGGGTTGTGGGGATACATTTAGATAGTACCAGTGTTTCTTCCAGACTTTTTTCTCCGAGGGGGGGGGGGGCATTTGATATTTTTGGAGAGGGGGGGGACTACATTTCCCGGGGGGGGGGGGGGGCGGACCCAGGTAAAAGTATGTTTTCTATATAAATTCCATTTCATTTGGGAGGGGGGGGGGGCGGTAGAAGAGATGCCTGGAAGAAACTTTGGATAGTACTCAAGCTAAATAGACTGTTTGAAATTTGAAATAGCATATCTCTGAGTTTAAAAAAAAAACAACTTAATGAGGAAATATTGAGTTGAATATTAACAATACAAAAAGATGGTGAAAAAATTATGAAAAAAAAAAGTCTTTAGCGAACGAATAAAAAAAAAGAAATACACATGTAATGTGGCAATAACCGGATCTCCTTGAGATTAGAAAACTACCTGGCGGCTATAGAAAGACATAGGCTAATAAGGGAACTGAAGTCTTTTTGTCTATTGTTACGATGTGTGTTTATGGTGAGGTATGCGTCCCCTTTCAAAAGTTGTCAAAAATAATGTAGGCCTATACGTTTTATGTTGTTGTTGTTTTTTTAAATAAAAAAAAATCATTTAAGAAGAAACAACATGACAAAATCTACCCGGAGCAACGGGCACCGCATTAAATTCATGTCACATGACATCCCCAGCGCGCGCTGTCAACACTATTGACATTCGCGAGGGAGGATAACTGCTCGCAAACATCAATACCCGCGCGTGACAATAAGTGCCACGGTCTGCGACATGTTGTATTGACGTGGCAGGCTGACACGGCAGTCAACAGGCAATATCTGTTGGTGTCAGGCTAAATGGGAGCTCTAGTGAGTGGAGACATTGTACAAATCGGTATATTGGAATCAAGGGAGGTGACTTCAAGAATAAACACACAAGATATATATATATATATATATATATATATATATATATATATATATATATATATATATATATATATATATATATATATATATAAATATATATATATATATATATATATAGGTTGACTAGCTGTGTCCAAGTCGCCAAGAAAAAAATAAAAGCGGGCCACTACCCTGCTTAAATTTGCAAAGCGCATTCCCCCCCCCCTCCAAGAATGTGTACCCATACCAGCTAATTCTTTTTACAAATTGCAAATAAAAATTTAAAAAAAAAGACGAATCGGAAGAGTTCATTTAAATAAACACCTAAAAAAGCATTTATAGGTGCATTTCAGTACCGATCATGGCGGCGCACCGGACTATTTCCCCGTGGAGGGGGGAGGGGGGGGGGCAACGGCCCAGGAACACTTGGCGTATTGTTTCTGCATAATAAAATTTGAGAATAACTATAACAAAATTTTGACATGCAATCTTTAGAGTAAATGTTAAAAGAAAACTTGATAGAGGCGTCTTTAGTTTAATTCATTTTCAAATTTTAATTCTCTATTTTACAAATTTGGGAAACATTAAATTTGCTCAACTCAGAAAAGCGAAAAACGTACACAGAATCTACAAAAAAGATGAAATATGTGCTGCTCTCTAAAATAACGTTTAAGTCACATTAACATTTGCTGAAACACACATTTTATACAGCAGAAAATGAGAGTTTAAAAAACTCAAACCACTAGATAGCTCTCTAGACGGGAAAAGAAACAAACAAAATCCTAGACAAACTGACAACAGCTCTGTATGTCTAGTACCAACACGGGGGTCACCTCAGCAAATATCACAACCAGTGGTCAGTGTGTGAACCAACACAGTGGCTGGCATAAAAATAGCCAGTCTTGTACATGGATGGAGAATTCGAATACAAAATTTAACTTTATTGAGATGGTATGTGTCGTGTTTAAAGAAAAGAAATTAACGAAAAAAGTAACTTTATAAAAATAAACTTAACTTTTAAATACATAGCAATATATTTTTATATTAGTAAAAATAAAGATGCAGGTGGTTTTTCGTATAACACAATTATTGTTAAAAAACATTATGCTTTATTTATACGTTTTAGTAGATTTAAAATGTTACAGGTTTTTATCATTGTTTTATTTTCTATTTAAAAAATATTTTGACATTTTAAATATACAAGTGCAGCCTACATTGATATTTAAGTTATATCAGCAATTAGCATAATATCTATATTTTAAATACAGTAATAATCTTTATTCCGTTAGACACCCACACTACTATAAACATTTGGTTTAAAAACCGGTGGGTAACTCTAAAGCGACAATTATCCGCCCCTTATTAACATTGAATTCCATGTTTTAGACAAATCAGTATCGACTCAGCTAAGTCTTGTTATCTCCCCTATTATAAATTCAATGGTTTAAATGACTTCAATTTCTTACACTGAAATTCTTTGAGAACATTAGACAAAGTTGTATTATTTATAGGTGGGGTTGATGGTCTGATTTTTGTGTGACGAAGGCTATAAATCTGCAATAAAATGTGACATCATTTATGGACGATCCTAAGCGAACCAGTATACACTGGGTCACAACTATAAAACATATTTTTGCCATTCTACGAATATTTTTGAAAACTTTCCTATCAAATATCCGACTCAGTTTAAAAAGTTAGCAACATCTGCGTGAAAGTCATGCATTCAAGCACGCGGATT